GCTAATTCTCCACGGAGGCTCAAGGCAACAGGTGCACGGAATCACACGGCCAAATAAATCCGCATTTCCTCTAGATATCTAGAACCACAAATCTGTCACCTGCTTTCAATTTCCTGGACTCGTACTTTCATGGGTAAAGAAAATCCGCGCACACACGCGAGACCGCTGATCCATAAATCTATCGAGCACATCGGATTGTCGAAACCCGTATGTGCAAGGATATATTTGATATTTCCCATATAGAAATGTACACTGTATGAAATATACATGCACATATATCTTGTATGAAAATCTTGAGTCACTTCCAAACAAACTTCCTCATCTCTTTCTAAAAGTTTTTTTTTTAAACATCAGTTAACAGAGAATATTTTGCTCGTGAAAGTTTTTGTTCGCGAAATTATCGCGAACTGTCTTGTATTATATCGTTGAGCAAGTTGCTCTTTCAAAACAACAATAAGATCTCAAATAACCTTCTGAGAAACACCGTTCAGGGAAGCTCTCGCGAAAATGGAAGCGACAGGCGAGAATGTAACAGGTCGAAGAAGCGCTTGCCAGATTACGTTACCTCTCGGTCTCGGTTTACGCATCAACGAAATATTCTGCTTATTTTCTCAAGGCTTCCTTCTTATCTTCTTTTGTATTGCTGATTCTAGGACACGTGCCGTTTCGGAGCCGATATCTACAATGTCTTTGTTCTTATAATGCTTTATCTTTTAATTCTTATAATCATAGATGCATTCATCTATGTACTTATGTAGTTGGTATAATTTTGGTATAGAATTAAATAACGATTTTTAAAAAATGTCAAAACCGGCTATTATATATATATAATTTTTTAATAATTTCTAGAAATGTAGAAAAAATTATTTAAGTTACTATTTTCTTTTAAAATAAATTCAAATAATTTATGCTGCTTTGCTACAATAAATGTTCAAAATAATAATTATTTTAAAAACTCTTTTCCAGTTTGGGACTATTCTGTTATCCCAAACTCGTTATGAAAACTGGCAAGAAATCAGTGTTTACGAATGTAACAGGTGGTCGAATTCGATTTATGATGAAGCAACTAAACCAGAAATCACAAGTTTTGACCAGACAAAGACAAACGAGTCTATGAAAGACGTGGAGAATGGGAAATGGATTCGATCATTCGGAAAGTTTCTTGAACAGAAATAATGCGTCCGTTCCACTTATATTCGCCATTCCATTTATATTCTTTCTTACTTACGGTTAGTTTCCAATGAAATAGAATCTATTTTGCCAAGTTGGAAACTCAATTAGAAAGCTCAATTAATAATGTCAACCAAACGAATCTGTCGCAAACTCACACTTTTATGCTGATAATGTACATAAAATATATCAGATCATATTGAAAAAATATCAGTATTAATTAAAAGTTAAATTTTAATCTATAATCACGAAGGATAAAATTATATACGGATCGAATTTTGTATACTGACGTAGTTTAATGAAATTTTGCTTTCAATTACGCAACAAACGAGAAGAGTTGCTAACGCAAACTGATTGCACCAGATTATAGCTTGCATTGCTATCAAACTGTCTGCATCTAGTGAAATAGTGATAAACTGATGTAACATGAATTTCGAAGAACCGTTCATCCCCGTCAGTTAGAATAATTTTGACGATCTGCTGATGTATATCCACTGACCTAAACCACCAACTTTGCCCGGAAGGCACGTTCCGCTCTTAAACAGTAACTTTCCGAGAATGATTAACAAGCAGGCAAGCAAACTATTTGATCTGGGCGAGAAACGAGGGATTTCATGTCACTTTAACGTAAATTCAAGCTCTAACTTTGTTACTGCATTGCACTCCACTTCCGCTCCGAGAACGATTAGATAGATAGAGATAGATATAAAGAGAGAGAGATAGAGAGAGAGAGAGAGAGAGAGAGAGAGAGAAAGAAAGAGGGAGAGGGAAAGAGGAAGAGAGAGAGGAAGACAAATTCGGATAGAATTGCACGAACACGATGCAAAAGCGATCGGATAGAATATCAAGTGTAGAATACTGAAAATGTTTATACACATATAGTACTGTACACTTCGGTAGTATTAAATTTCGGTGATAAATTCGTCGACGAAGTTAGAATTTTTTTTTATATAAAAGAAGATTAATAAGAAGTTATAACATTTTAACATTTAGTTTTTAACACGTATGTACATAATGCGCTTGCTTTCCAAAGCTTGCTTAAAATTTTAACAAGGATTAATACATATCTACAATTAAGAGTTTTTAATTACCATCTTAAAATGAGAAGAAAAGAATCTTGTAACATATTTTCAGGATTACTTGAACTTGTGTATGCAAAGGTTTCTAGATCTTCAGCTATTTAATTAAAAAATTATTACTACTGAAATGTCAGCTTTATATTCGACACATAATAGTGATAGATATCAAGTAAATAATATATATTAAAAATCTTGTTAAAAATAGATACAGATGATAATAATAATAGATATGAAGTAAATAATATATATTAAAAATAGACACAAGTGACAAGCAATGTTTCGAACATTAACGTCACGCTAACATATTTGCTAACGGCACTACGCCGACATAACAAATGTCAACAAGATCGTAAGAGCCTATCGAGAAAAATTATTTCGCGACGCTGTTCTACTATACCTGCTGCCTCATCAATATAATAATAACATTTTCTTAATCGTTTACGGTTACTCGAGGCTTAATCGATATTACCTAGGAATTAAACTAACTCGACGATGCCATGATGACACCAAGGAATTGCCGTAAGGAAAATTCAATAGTGTCGACGACTATTTCTACCAGATATCGAATCAACCTTTCCGCTAAAGTTACCTAAGCATATTCATTTCTATCCATGTAAGCGAGTATTATTATAAAGAGCGGCTCTCTAGACAGATGAGTGTAAATGACTTCTACGCGCATTCACTGGTTTGTCGAACTCGAGTGGTAGAGCCACGTCGACGTCATAACTATAGCTGCGCTCTATTTTCGCTTATCTCGACTCCACTGCTCTTCTCCCCTGCTGAATCTCTCTCGCACTTGTGTATTTCTGGCGCGGCTTCTCGCGAAGTACACACGTGGGGCAGAAACGCGAAGAAACATAGCTTGAAATATTTCGATTAAATTTATTTTTATTATCGTTCCTTTCCCATGTAAATTGTCTGTAAATTCCGTGAAAGATAATAGCGTCGCAACGAAGAGAATGCTATCCAAATACGAACTCTACAATGTTATTGTGTATTTGAAACTCTACAGAATTTTGTCTGAACGTAAGAAAATAAATAAGTTAAACGGGAAATGCTGTTTCGATTTAACGTATTAATAGTTTTCGTATCAACAACCAAATTATTTTCTGTCATTTATTTCAAGTAAATATTATTCTATTTAAATTAAAAAATAAAGTGGTTGGAAAAGTTTAATTAAATTATAAATTTAAGAACTGCAAGAAAAAATGGTACGTTAACCCTTAAAGCGCACACCTCCGAAAAATTACGTAAAGCGCACTGGGGATATGAGATACCCCAGTGTCTTTAAGTATGTACTGTAACGACGCTATTGACTATTTTATTGCATAAAAATTTCTGAATGAAGTTAAAGTCATGTATTTTAAGGATAAACAAAAGTTATAGCAATTTCTTAAAATTAACATTGTTTAAAAAATTATTGAAAAAGACATTTTAATGGGACTTATCAGAGCACAAAGTTCGGAGTGGGGCATCCTACACCCCATGTGCGCTTTAAGGGTTAATCTCTCGTAATTATGTAAAAAAAGTTTTGAAGTCTAAAGTTTGAGAGAATACGCAATCTCTGAGACACCCTAGTCAGCAATTTGACTGAAACTACTCGCCTTGTAAATAAATGGTTCTTTTGATTGTAAAATAATAGTATTGCAATATATAATAGCGTTGCTTCAATGACGCAAAGCACAAGTTTCATTAAACAATTGTAACTTTAAATAAAAACCGCTGATCCGTTGTAAACAATATTTTATTACGTGAATGTAATACTGTGAAACAATTTAATCGATAATCAATTCGCCCGAAACCATGCATTGTTACGAAACTATCGAAAAATTCAACAGTTGCTTCTCTCACATAGTTACCGATACTTTCGTGGCAAATCGAGAATGTTTATATAATACTGGAAGCTGTCAATAATTTGCGTCGCAATAGAGCGAGGTATACACACACTGAAAACGTTTTACATCGCTCTTGCTGTTAAGTGAACGTCGATGGTTTATGAAATATTTGGAAAACCACAACGATAATAAAAAAGTTGGAAAATATTTAAGGATACAAAAAGTTTAATATAAGGACGCTAGGAAAATATTCGAGATATTAAATATATATTGCAATCTAAAATATATTCCCCAAGATGTATATAGCATGTATATTACATGACATTCCACTGCTCGTCAAATCTACCTACTAAAAATTAGAAATTCTAAAGTATATCTCTTGAGAGGTACTTAAAAAATCTCCTGGGAAATTTAATTATTTGAATTCAACGTTTCTCCTATAAAAGAACCCTGTCAAGGTCCTTTCGAGATTTTAAATTCTAGATAGTAGAATCACGTAGGATCATTAATAAGTAAGACAATATACAAAGTTATCCGTAACAAGAATTGTTGCATCATAATTTTGTAAAAACTATTAAATTAAATACACAAGACTTCTAAATTATTGATTGTATTATTAGAAATGTATTACTTATTATTATTATGTTATTATTATTCATGTAATTATTTTAATTATTTTATTCCACCTTATGTCAAGTGTCATCCTTATCTTTTAAGTCCACAATGATCCATTCTCTCTCTTATTCCATATTTATCCAGCGCGTATATCTGCACTTCCTATCTATCCTGTCGTGCGCGCAATTAAACCCTGCAGGTCGACACCGAAAGCTTCCCCTTCGACGTTTTCGGGTAAGGAGCGAAATCGTTTCCTACGGTTGTTTACATTTACAACAGGTGGAAGAGAGCTATTTCTGACCTTTGCTGGTAAGACTGAAGCTACGGAGTCTGTAACTATCCTCGTCCTCGCCTTCCTCCCGCGGTGGCATCTGAGACGAGACGTCAGGCACATCCAGGAAGGCGTTGCTCTTCCTCTGATGCGTGTGGTGCATACTCTGCCCCCTTCGGCTCCCTCGTCTCCTGATCCCCGGACTGACGTCATTCTCGGTCAATCTGGGCTCACTGCTGCAGTGGGCCGACTTCATGCTCGGCTCATGATGGTGATGATGATGAGCGGCGGCTGAAAGCGACAAAATTATAGATATTAATGCATACTCAACAGAAATAATTATAGAGCGGTATAGATATCGGGTATAAATATATACAGATTTTGTTAAAGCTATATGTAACATATTTAGCAGATTCTAATAACCGTGTTATATACCGTATGTCATGCATACCGCGTATGGATGTTTTATAATATCGATGTCGATATCAATCGCGGTAAGTCAATAAGCTATTCAATCACAATTTTAACAAAAAAAAAGATAAATTGTTGTATCGCAGCGTAACAGATATTAAAATGTGATTACTAGCAAAATAAATATAAAAAGAATTTTAATGATTTTATCCATTTAAAAGCTATCTCTCTGTGTCCAAATTTTATTCGGGCATTTTATACAAAAACGTGAAATACCTATATTCGTGTCGAGAGCACAGATGGTTTCTGTCTCTAAAAAAAATGCAATTTTTACAGAAATACATTTTTGATACTCTTTACATTGTAATGTTACAATAATAGATTTTATTATAGGAAAAGTTTAAATGTATTTCAATGAGTAATAATAGTATTTATAAAAAAAACCCCTTTAGCAATGAATAGAGCAGAACGAAAAAGTTCCTTTTTGACTGCGGGCTTTTCACCGGCAAAGTGCTCGAGAGGAAAGCAAAGAACAGAGTATTTTTCAAAGGCACTACACCTATTACATCGCAAAGTCGACGCGTGGAAAGTCAAGTGATTTAGTGCAACCTGGAGAGGGCACCGGGAAACGAAATTAAACGACGCGGAAAAGGAAAAGAAGAGCGAGCTCAGAACCGCGTTTACGAATATTTGCTCCACTTAATCGCGAAGTTTATCAAGCAGACAAATTTCTCCATTTTATTAATTTCAAGAAAATAGGATTTCTCCTTCCAATGTTATTGCGATTAAAGTTTTGAAGGGGGAATACAAGCTTTGAAACAGAAGCTAATTCTTCCATGTCTGTAATATTAAAACAGTGGATTAAAGCTATTTGATCTAACAATTAATTCTGTAATACCCCATCATTAATTGTAAGTAAATAATGTCTAATTTATATTTGTAATCCACCTAGTATAACATGTAATTACATTAACAGTGACATTTTTGGTAATTTTGCATAATTTTATGCAGAACACATATATCGACAAATACTTATGCAGATAATATTTTTTTTCAAAATATCAAGATAAAAAAATGAGATTATTTTAATGGAAGTCGCAATAAGATAACGATCTATTAAGCGAGGAATGTTTGCCAATTTTCTACCGCTTCCTGACACATTATACCGAAACTTTAGCTCTTTATCCTTTAATTAAGACTTGACAGTCTTGCTCGTATTACATCTGCGTACAAACAACAGGAATTACCGCTCTAATTATTCCCGTTTCACATTAATACATCTCCGTGTTTCAGCGCGCGCATAAAACTGCACTAATGCTTAGCGACAAAACTGATTTCTAGATGAGACGCGGTAGCGTACGACGAGAGACGGGTTTGGGCTGTCAGTGACCTACTAGCCAAATCCATGTCCGAGAATAGCGGCCGCCAATAATTTCAAGAACTCTCGCCAGGCTTTAGAGCGACGACGTGTCTATAGAGCGCCGGTGCAATATCGATACACTTTGCTCTTTCGTCAAGAGGGATCGTACGTCACCGATGACGTTTCTACGAGTTCATCGGATACCATCGGAAGTTACGTCCGATCGCACCGCATTACGTGATCCTGTCGCGCAAAACAGACTTTTACGTACCTCGAGATCCGATCTCGGCCAATATTCATATCTTGATCACTGGGAAAGAGCTGGACACGCAAAACGGTCATTTGACAGTTTAAGTTCTGCTATAGTGTTTAGTTACAGATCCTCGAATTAAAATGTTTAAAAGACGAAAGATGTACTTTTGAAAAACAAAATCGACAAATCTTAAAATTTCTTGAAACTTATTGAACGAGAATTTGACGAACTTACCAAATTCAAATGGTTGACAGATCACTCTTTTAAGGATGTTTTACGTATAGCTATATGTAGTATAATTTTGTTTTCTTGATTAAACAGTGTAAAGCTATATAGTCTCAGAAATTATTCATAAACAACATGTTATCATTGGGACAGAAAAAGCGTAAAAATCGCAATTTTGTCCCATTTTTGTACTCGATATTGTTAAAATAAATCATTAAAAAATTAAAAAAATATATATATTAACAGAAAAACTTAAAAACCCGTAATTGCAATTCTCGATGTCATAGAAGTGTACCATAAAAATTTCATTCATTTTTACTGTACAGGAGCAGAGATACATGTTATGATATTTACATGGGAAGTATATCTATATATATATACAATTTCTGTAACTTTTAAAGCAAATATCTCAGAAACGGGTCGGGCATGATCGCAAATTTAACACAGGTTTTTCGGATATATAAGTGCACATCTCTGTAAATTTCAGCTTCATCCCTCTATTTTGACATAAGCGATATACATCCTTAATACTTTATAAGTATTTTTATAAATTTTTGAGTTCTTGAGTCTTTAAATGCTTCTGGGAATCATAAATCTTAATCAGGTCGCAACATTCACCCACGCAACGAATAAATTATTACTTATTTAGCCCCCGTTCCTACCGCTATTACCATTACCTTGAGCGGCGGCACGGCGTCGGATGCTTTTATTTCCGCCGGAAACACGGGCGCTCTGGGATCTTGTAGCCGGTCTTCGTCTTCTCGTGGGTGTACTGCCATCCGGTGTCCCACTACCGCTGTCCCTTTCCCGCTCCCCTCTTTCCCTGTCGCGAGCTCCCGAGGGTGGCATTGCTTCCAACATTTGTTCCATGCTGGAAAATCCAGGGGCACAAATCGAAGCCGATCTGGTTTTCCGGCGAAAAGAGTCTTCCGCCATTCTTTTAAGTTACCACACAGCCACCACTGTTCCTCCCTTCCTTAAAGCCACTGATCGCCACTCGGATCTCTCGCTTTATATTAATAATTATCTTCTCTGAATCTCTTGATAATTGCGTCTTTCTTTACAAATTATTATATCGAATCTCGCTGTAACTTCGTAAAATCCTTATCCTCCACTTGTCGATCACAAATTTTGACGATTTGTGTTACGGACTCGACTGTATCAAGCACTGTTTTTATCGTAACTCTTCTGCACTTAAACTTGAACGTTCGTAAAAGTTTTTGCACAATCTTCTGCCGACTCGATGTCCTTCGCGAGAAACGTCGGGCCGCGTCTGATTTTCGAAATATCTGTTCGGATGTCGCGAATCTTCCATTCGGTGGAATTCGATTATCGGAAAAAGTATCAATTCGGAAAAAATTCGACAGGATATCCAGGTGAGGATGTCATGGATCCGGCGTTATATTGACAGTTCCGGCTTCGCTCCGAAGAGAACCCCCGCGCGTTCTTCTTGACTCTACAAATAAAACATGGGAAGGTTTGATTTCTTTCTGGCCTGCACGTACACGTGAATAATACGGTCAGAGTAATTACGACCGTGGCAAATTGCGCCTCTCCTAAACTCTCAGTGAAAATAACTGGCAATCTATATTTCTTTTTCTCTCCCTTTCTCTATCTTTCCCTCTTCGCATCTCCCCTGTTATTCTGCCTGCCGGATGCGAGCTCGCATGCTAATTAGATCCATCCCGTCGATTATTGCCTTGATTATTCCGTACGCGATCGCAAAAGCTTTGAAAACGTGTAAAATTAAGCACAAAGATATTGTACAATATTTTCTTGACTTGTGGATACTCATTGCTTAAAATAAAAGAACATAAAATATTCTAAATAATAATAATTTTTTAATTACATTAAAATTTAGAAAGTTATAATTTTATTTCATATTAGTTCACATTCAGATAAGTTATTTCGAAATAATTTGTTTCATACTTTGATTGTAAAATTAATTAAAGTTGTAGAAAACTAATATTTATTTAAATCCTGATCAGCTAAATCATTCGAGCTTAGCGAATCAAAAAGCTCAATATATTGCAGATACTTTTATGCATCTACACATCACACATAGACATACATTATTTGTGAGTGTAATAGTGTAGTAAGAACAATTGAAGAAAAGTAGAAATCAAAGATAACTAATTTAAAGAAGAAGAATTAAAGTGTGGATGCATGCAAAAGGAACTTTTAGAAACTATGAAACCTTAAGAAAAACGAGAACTTAAAAATGCTAATTAATTGGAATATTATACTTAACATTTCCTTCCAAATATAAATTCACAAAACTCGGGCAATATTTAACTCAATCAAATCCAAGTTTAAGCGATTGGAAATGTGTCTTGCCTAACTCGGATTGAATAGGATAAAGATCAGTGACAATATTGAGAACGTAGTTGGCAGCATTCGAAGTTTCAGGCGGAACTTGGCATAGTTGAAAGACATCTCTGTGGACTGTCGAAGCTGTCGAAGTTACGGTGAACGCGATACATGGGGAAGATATCGGTACGCGTGAAGACGTTCCGGCAACTATAATCGAGTATCGACAAAGGTAAAGCTCAGTCCGACCAATACAACTTTGTGATACCTTATCAATATATTCTCTTCGGAGTTTATGCCTGGTAGTGTATTTTACTTTGAGACTATAAGAGAGTGCCGAGGAAATTAAGTAACTTGTTGCTAGTGATAACTACCTCTCTGTATATTCAAGTAATTTTACTGATACATATTATCACTTTATATATAATTTTGTTTTTCTAATTATTTAAATATACATTTTTCTTCACTTTTTATCTATAATTTTCTTTCAATCAAAATATTTCATACATTTCAGATATTTTTAATATCTGAATAAAGAATCATTTTTCATGAATAAAAAACAAATAAACAAGTTAATACGTATAATTAATAATAATATTACATTTTTTATTATTTTGTTTTAATTTATTAAACTACCCTCTTTCGTATATTATAAAAAGATTATAAAAAGATGATCCACATAAGAAACTATTTTATGTCTGCTATTATCACAATGCAACATGAGTTCTCGTCTATAAAAGGGGCATAAAGCAACAATGACGAGGAAATATCTTTAACGAATGCGATGTTGCAACGGATTTTATTTAAAGCACTTCTCTCGTAAGATGTCTCCTTTGTGAAATAATATATCACGCGAGGGCGCGTTTACCATAGATAGACTAGCAGGATTAAGTAAAGGAACTGAAGCTTTACACTGACAGGAGTGAGAAAAGGTCTTACGAGCCTCCTCATTAACGTTATGCGTTAAAATCGATAGTCTGCATAAGTACTTTATGTACGCAACATAACTTCACATTATGATCGAAGTTACGAGTTGCTGTAAAAATTATATACGCCACCTTTTGTAAAACCTCGATGCTCTCTCTTCATATCTTGTTACTTTTACTGCTGTACTATTTTTGTAATTAAAGAAGCTTTAAAGTTTATGACATAAGCACACCAAAAAGATAATAAGACTTACTTGTGTTAAGTTGCCTCTCTTACATATTTTTTATTATTATTTAATCATATTTTTTTTGTGTACACAACTTGAAGTATTGAATCCGACGATATTTTTAACAACTTCTATTCAACTCTACAATTTCCTCAATTATCGAACATTCAGATCTAATATGTACGAGAATACGAGAATTAGAATGAATTGTACACGTAAATAATGTTACAAAATACTCAAAATACATTGAAATGTAATTAACGACTTATTTTCTACTAACACTTCTGTGTTAACTTCTAAATTGCTTTTTTATATGTATGTGCATATAAAGTATTTTTGCCAACATCTTGCCAAATATTAAATATCTTATTGCTGAACAATAAGTAAGTCTTATTTTAAAGTTATAGAGGGAGGAAGATAAAATAAATCCTTTTTTGAAACATTACCAACTTGACGAGAATATAAAATGTGATATATATATATATATATATATATATATATATATATATATTCAACGAAGCAACACTTTTGAAACTATATATATATGTTTAAAATAGGTAACATCATTTCTGTTAATATTCGAATATTAATAATTCGAATGATCATTGAAACTAGATTTAAAATTAAATTTGCTTGCATTGAACAAATGAAATATAACAAATTAAATATAAAATATTTTTACGTTAATTGGTGCGGTAATAATTGAAATAAATTAGTATTTGTTAATATTCTCAATAAATATTTAAAATATTTTTTACTTTTCTGCTTAATAATGTAACCTTAATTTATAACCCTTATATCAAACATCGAAAATATACATACTTTATTATACCTCAGAAGTTATATATTACAATAATTATATTTACCCGTCAGGATACAGAAGTACTTTTACATTCAATTATTCAGTATCATTTAACTCACTACAAAAGGGTTAAAGGCAAAACAGAAAGAGAGAGAGAGAGAGAGAGAGAGAGAGAGAGAGAGAGAGAGAGAGACCGCCCTTCGACAATTTCAAAGTCGGAACATCGGTTTTTTCTCTCCCGTACGATAATCACTGCGCTCTCCTCGTTAACTTATTTTTTCCGCCGACTAATTATAGATAACGTTTCGCATAAATCTTCTAGGGAGACGCATAAACATCTCCGCCGATCTGTCCCCCCCATATGTTCATCTCCGTGTTCCACTCCTTCAAGAGCTCCGCCACGGCCGTAATTATCCCCCTTTTTCTATAAACTTAACAACCTCTGCCCTTTAACCGTAATTATATCGAGAGAGATGATATTCGCGCCTCTCCGTCTCGAGATATCACTCCAAGACATCACCGATGTCTGCTCTCGTACGTCCCCCGAATTCGCGATCTCTCTGGATCGATATGCCGCGCGCGACGATCGATCCTTACCACTTTAGGCCGTCCACGATCGTGGGATATCTCCTCGTCATTTTCTACTTCATCCTTCCCGGCGATCGCGACGGGTTCGAATCACATGTCTCGATTGGCTCGCACACACGAGCGGCGACTCGACCGACACGATGCACGTCCGACGATGCGCGGCACACTGACGGCAAACTCGGCGTCGCGGCGGCCGCTAGGGCGAGAACCGACGCCAGGCGTCGGCGTTGGCTCTCTCTTGCACACCCTCGTCACCGACCACAACCGGAGACTTCGTTGAAGATCACGATGAGAAAGCGACGACGAAGTTGGTGCGCATCCAATTCCGCACGCTGTGGCTCTTCAACGATTCGGCGAACGTGCGAGATACTTCGCGGGGAATCACCAGAAACCGTAGATAATACTATATAAACTACGGAATTAGCATCCAACAAAGAAGTGTGTTGATAATCCTTGCCGGTACATTAATTATTTTAATCCAATTAAAATGGAAAAGTGCAATACGAGTATGAGAAATGAATGTTTCCCGGAAGGAGAAATGTTTGATTGCCCGTCTAAGAAAGTTTAACGCTTGAGTGATATGTAACTTCATGAAAACTTTATCTTCATTAGATCGGCAGCACTAACTTTGACTTACGATATCTCAGCAGCGTGACTTGCGATATCGCGGCAAGAAGGGTCATTCTATTTCGTCACAAAACTTCTTTCTTTTTTGGACTTCAGAAAATATACCTAAAATAATATCTGCTAATTATCCACTTATTGTTAAAAATGAGCTAAAATTTCTTCTTGAATTGGAATAATATGGAACAACAGCAGAGTACATTTTTGAGGGGAATAGAAAGTTAACAGATTGTTATTGACATTAATTAATACATTGATGTAATGTGATTTACCGATGCAGTCATAAATCACTAAATGCAACATTCATGCTTAATTCACGCACAATTTTCACAACTAAATAAAGTTCGCAAATTAGTAGTCAATTCTAAATCGTAACAAAAGCATGTATAAATTAAGAAATATCTTATTTCTCCCTCTCTCTTTCTCTCTTTTCTATCAAAATTATGTAATTGTATTTTGTCTCGAGTTTTGTCTACTACTTTAAATTTTTATTTGATCAGAAAATACAAATTTTTATTATTACCTCAACAACATCAAATTGCTGAACACTGTTGCATATATGTAAAATAATTTTATTTGCATGATTATAACTTTAAAAAATTTCTCGAACGGCAAATCCTACGATTGCTAGATTTGCTGTCACTATATCTATAAACTGGTCCGAATGACGTGTCGTGACGTATTCGTTCTAAACACCAACCTGTTTAAATTCTGGCGATAGATGACGAAATCCGCGAAAGCTGGCTCATGTCTGTTCGCAAGATTACTACGAAGTACTACAGTTTTAAATCGTTTCAGGAAAGTCGTCATTCTGGCACCATCACCTCGTACATTGGCACCGTGTACCTTATCCGAAGAAATCTATTCTTTATGTAAACAAGCTATTTGCTTAAATCTTATTCACGGTTTATTTTACATAGTCAGCGTGCTTAATTACGAAAAGTACTGCGTCACTATTCCAATGAGTCAGTATCTCAATAAGATAGAAACAACTATTTCAAGAGAAAGAGTGAGAGAAAATCGGCTATTATTTAAGTTCTTTTTATTTAATCATTTGATTATCTGATAAGTTGATAATTTCACGATTATATATAACTAATTAATATAAAATAGCCAAAAAATAGGACGTACTTTTAAAAAATTGACACAAAGTAGGTACATGTTTTAAGTTTCAGCGCTCATTTGGTTTCACAATGCGTCCATGTGTCATAACAAGGAAATTCCAAGAAGGTTTTCAATATGTGCAAACGAGAATAGAATTCTGATCTATGACGTTGGTTATCAGTTCAAGAAATGAGGATTTCCGTCATAAACCAGCGTAAACTGTAAAGATAACACATGTCAGTTTCGTGTGAAAGCAATTTCGCAACTTTTCATCGAAAATATACTTTGTCAATTTAACAAAAATGTATTATTTATAATATTCATACTAATTCCTAGCTTTTGTTTTAACATATTTACAAATATAGCAGTCTCCTAAATTTTTAAACTCACTAAATTTTTACGTGTGTTAGAACGATCAGATTATTTTTTACAAACTATTAAATGAAAATTAGAGAATGTATTTTTAAAAACTGGTAAGTTTTTATATTAAATTATAATAAAATATAATTGCTAATAAAACGTTTAAAACAAGCGCTTTATTGTTATTACATAACAGAAAGTGTATAATAACATTTTCAATAATATTTAAATAATATTTTTTACTTATTACAATGTTGAATTTTCTCTATACTTTGGCTAAGTCTATACGTACCGTAAATCCGAAAATGCTTATGATTTGTGGGTTTCTCGACTTGTGGACAGAACCCATTTTAGTGCCATAAAGTCCATTCGAAGCACTAAATCATCTTCTTAAACCCCAAGTTCTTTGTCAACGGTATCGATAGTCAATACCATGAGGAAGGATAATAGCACTCATAAAGTGCTATTACCTTTTCTCTTGGAAAAATTTTCGCGTAACATAAAAGTTGTCCCACAATTTCGGTATAATCATCTGTAAAATTTGTTCCTAACGCGTATTATTCATCGGCATTGCATTCTTCTCTTTATCCCGTTTTGCCCTGTCCGCCCAACATTTAGACTCAACGCCGCATAGTATATTTTTGACTTGTGGTGGTCTAAAGCTATTTCAAGACGAAACCGAATCAACCTTCTGCACCAATACGATTCTTCGCTCCCACTTTCTCCGCTGGCCTCTTTGTGGTCCTTGGCATCTTCCCTTTTCTGCCCCTGAAAACACTTTTTCTCTCAAGGATATCAACGAACTATATAAATAATGTATTTATAAATAAATAAATATATATATATTATATATATAAATTCTTTTAATTTCTATAATTCTTTAAATTACTTTAAAATGTTCAAGAAAGAAAAGATCGCGTTTATGCAAATTATCTAAATGACTCATGAACGGCCGAACAAATTCGCGCGCAAGTTACTGGAAGAATGGTAAAAAAGAAACTGTTCGTTGTTCAGTATGATTAAACTAACGTGCAGTTAAATGAGATAATAAATTTTGGACAGTTCCTCATCGCTTGCGTAACCGCAATTGTCAGCAAAATGTATTCAACGTGGTCCGTGGCAAAACTTCTCAATGTTGATTGCGATTCTCCTTTGTTGAGTTAAAAGACGAGTTTAACTGAGTTTGCAGTTGAATTTACAGTTCCCATTTACTAATCAAATCTGATTTATGTAAACTGTTGCAGAATTTTTATTATCTAGTAATAAATTCTCTTTAAGTTTAGTTTATTAATATAAATTCTTTAAACTATTAACTTTCTTTTTGCTCTTTACAGTTTATCCTTTATATTATTTAGAAGTTACTTTTTGTAGAATTTTGATATCGTTTCACATTTCAAATCCATATTTAACATAATCACGTGGGTATTACTAAAGCATGCGTACAAAGTGCGGTTTGTTCAAAATGAACAATAATTCCTTACGGGTCAGCGGCGTGATCTATCTATATTCTATATGATGATTCAACACGCGCAATCCAATCGTGGTGCGCCACATTCGAAATTAGGTAGTCCTAATTGCAAATGCCATCCGTTGCGGATGGTCACTTTGGGAGTGAGAGAGACAGTAGAGAGAATTGCTTACTTCCTCATTAGTTTACCAGATCCGTGAATCTGCGGTGGCATACACAGTTCCCTATTAATTATAAGATGCGCGTTATTATCAATCCAATTAAAACGATCGACGAACGAAAGTGGCGAACCGAATATTCATACGCGCCAAAGCGGTGTTGAACTTCTCATTTTTCGACGATGATATTTTCTATCGCGCACAAAAATAAAAGTTAATTTTTAATTAAAACTTGGTAATGAATTTTAAGCGCCGCGCCGGCCGCCGCAAAAGGTCGATCGACCGAATTAAATTTATCGTTGGTTTCCCCGCTTGCCATAATTATTATTTCGCGCGATAAGAGTATTTATTTTCCCGTTAAAAAAGCGACACCGCCACGTTCCGGTAAAGTCGAAGATATTGCTGTGTCAGAAATCTCATTTATCATTGTGTCCGGAGCTTCGTGTCGAATAACTCTCGCAAAATTACAGGTCTGTCAATCAAAAGACGCGCCTAGCTCATATCTTTCGAAAATACCGTGTATCTTTTCCGAAGCAAGATTTTATAATCATGCTAAAACGCGATGTAAAACCTTCGAAATTTATCGTCCATCAACACGATAATTCCGCGAATCTGAAAATAGCAAGTCATGGGCTTACAGATCTACAAAATCTAGGGGATGTACCAAATTTATAACAACTTATATACTTGAAAATTTAAACTTTTATAAATAATTAGTAATAAATATCTATCGTTGCAAATTTTTCGATGTTTTTATCTTATACAAGAATAAAATGATAATCATTAGAACTTTAATAAATATCTCATTTCCTTAGAATTTTCAAATGTAAGTTTTAAGATAAATTAAGTACATTCTTTATGATAAAGATTATCTATTTAATTTAACAATATACCTGAATTTATTGTGAAGTGCATCTTGTGCTTTAACCCGCACGGCGAACGCATAATGGAGGGTCGGAGCATTCGATTGCAAGGTAAACGGATATACCTGATGTCGCATGTAGAATGCAGTTCTCCACGAGAGCTATTGATAACGTTGACACACAGAGAAGCACTATCATGCGCATTAGAAACATAAGTGGTATGTCATGTTTACGTGGGCTGCGTAAACGATCTTAAGTGCATGTACGCAAAGGCCAATATATAAAGATAGGAGTTAATGCATAAATAAACGTGAAGCCGTACAGCTTATTTCACACTTGACCAACTAATCCGACACGGTTACTTATTTCATTTGAGCTTGTCATAATACATGCTGCGCGATTACCGAGATAAGAGAGCACCAACCAGAAATAAAGTATTAAATTGTTTTAAGACACTTCACTATTTTAAATAAGAATTGGTAAGCTATAAATATTCGACAAGTTACAAATGTTATTTAATTTTATTCTTAAAAAATGTTTTTCTTTTTTGCTTTAAATAATAATTTAAGAATACAAGAGAATAGGAGAATGTTTTATGATCTTGGAAATTTAACCAATTTATAAGATCAATATTTTAATTATTGTAAATTATTAATTCCAACTTAATATATCGAATAAAATAAGAAATTATATAATGTATTGTTTAACAACATCACAAAGATTGTTGGCTGTCTGCACACATTTGTATAATAATAATCAATATATTATAATTTAATGTACAAAAATCTTAATATTTTTGAAATATTTAAATAAATTTGAAATATAATAAATAAAAAATTAAAATCTTAAGAATAAGAAAATATATCTTACTTGGATGAAGGATTTTGACAGGTAGAATAACATCCAGCTCGTGTATTTTGCTCGTTTTATTATTTCCAAATCTTGCTTAGAACCTGAAGAAATTCTTTCACAATCTAATAATTAATTAATGATAATTAAGTTTAACATTAACGCCTGACAACGACGAAGTAAAGATTATAGATATATATATATTTATATTTATATATATATAAGCTAATCCTTGCCCAGACACACGAATTGATATGCAATGTTTAATGTGTTACTTGTTTTCTTTCTTGTTTCATTCGTCCTATTTCACTTTTTCTTTACGGGCATATAAATAAATTCTTATTGCTTAATATTTTCTTGTTAATATATATATATAATATATATATAGTATTATTACATATATGATGATATGTTTTTGTAGTCCCAATGATTAATATGCACGCGTTTGTGCAAATGTCTCCGGCGTGAGACACGTTATGGACGGATTGATCCGGATTACGTCACGGACGTTCCGAATTGTCGACCGATCACCACCCCACACTATATTCACTGATAGCTCTCGGTAGCAGATAATCAGTACTTTTTACCTCTCGATATACTCTTTATTATATTCCGATCGACCTTCGGAATGTCCGTCACGCATCCAGCAGTATTTGACGAGGCCTCAGATTGTCGTTTCAAACCTCGTCCGTGATGATGATAAAACGAGAAAAAACGTTTATATAGATATACATATAATACTAAAGAAGAACACAGAAGAAAATGAAGAAGAAGAAGAAGAAACGAGAGAGTCGCGATCGCCCACGACTCCGATTTTGTACCTCCGCCGTAGATCAATTATCGGAGAGGTGTGTCCACTCAAGCCCCGTCGACATACTGATTAATTATTAGTATTATTACCATTACATTATTACTATTATTATTAATATTATTATTCGCTCACTAAATATCATATTCTTATCTCTGAACATAGTTCAATGTCGCTACGGTAAAGTTATTATTCTTTAAATATCACAATAACCTTACACAGAAAGCTGCAGCTAATTTTATCATTATTATTATTATTATTACTATTCATTATCCATTATTATTACTATCAGTATTGTTGTTATTATCTACGAATTTACGCGCGAACTTTATCTCATAAATATGTCAGATGTATTGTATCCCCCTCTTTTTGTAACGAATACGAAAGTATTACCGTTATTATTATTACTATCTTTATTTAGTGTTGCTGTTATTATTATGCACGCACAATCTTTAGGGTTAATCGTCGTCGTGCCAAGCGACGCACGCTTGCGTGAACTCGATTTTGCTGCCTGTGTACTGGGCCACTTTCGATGGTTACCATGTGTGATTGCTCTCGTATGTGTAATTGATGAACAAAAATTATACATTGTCGATACAGTGTACGCAAATTCCCCGCAATGCTCAATTATTATTGAACAATGTATTGACATAGAATTTACATTGACCGCCAGCTTGTACCCGGATACATAGTACATACATATGTAACTTGCGATACATAGTGAACCTCGGAGTTTACGGAATAACATGAAAAAAAATTCATTGTAACCGATCGAGACACTGTCCATGAATCATATGACAAGTAATTTAGCAATTGTCACATATCTGTGCATCAAAATTATTGAAATATTCGAATTTAAGATATAATGTTACCTCTGCAGATCATTAAAAATATACGTTTTGATATGTGAAGTTTATAAAGCTGCATAATCACACTTGTGTGAGTTCTTAACAGTAAAAAAGTAATAAATATTGATCCTCTAAAACTGTAATTGTAGAACACAATAATCCGTACGCTTTAAAATAATTCGTTTCTTTACATCGATTGATTTAGATCCTAAAGATTGCATTATGAAACTTATCTTTTGCAACCACATCTTGCCGCGTTTGTAAAAAGAAAAAGACCAATAAGTTTGCAAATTATAAAATCTGCAGTAAGATAATGATCTATAAAATCATGAGTTCACTATTATTACCACGGTTAATAAATATGTAGATTCGAATTTTCAACACTTTGCGGACTGATCGTGCTGTACTGTAGCGTGCGCAGGGGACGGACTAGTTTCTGCAGCTGTATGCACGTGATATACATCAGAGATTAAATACAAAATTATAATCTCAAAAGTGGTGATTATACCTAAGCGAACATGTGGTCTCGTACTCAGTCGCAAAAATAACATTTGTATTTGTCGCACCGTATTCTTCCAAAGCGCGGACCAAGTATAGGACGTCGAATCACACACTTCAATCCGCAAAGTGTTCAATTCACTCGAGCGTTCAAATCTGCCGACTCTGATCGCTCAAATGTGCTCGAACAACCATATTTCCGTAACACTTCGCTAATCTCTCACTTGCGATAACTGCTGTTCCATGGACAATCTTCGCAATGCGGATAATTTTTACGAATAAATCGCCTCTACGTAAACATACAGGTGTTTACGTAGATCCCTTGCTGCGTGAAAAAAACTGCTATACGACCGTCATACACATCTAACGGAGAAAAATCACACCGTTCCGCGTTCGAGGGGACGATCCAAAGTGATCGTAGAATTCCCATAAACCGATGCCGATCACGAGAGCGAAAGCGATTATTACAGTAATTACTTAATCGATCACGCTCCCCGATCTGTTAAGAATTCGCGAAACAGCAGGCGCGTTTCTGACGATCGTTCATCTGTGCGGCTAACGAGTGTACGATAACCAAGTGTAAAGAACAAGCAACGGCTGATGCAGAGCCCAGCATAGAACTCTGACGCCAAAAAGATCGTCAAAAGAAACGCGCCGTCTATCTCTGCGCATCCCATCAGACAAAATTTCTCACGTGTGTAGAAATCGACTCGCGAATTTGTCTTTATATACACGTTATCGTAACTCACAATTTTCATTTTCTTAAATTGAATCGCGATTCAATTTCACGGTTTTCCTTTAAAATGTCGTTTATACATGCATCGTGAAACCCAGAAATTTTACACAATCAACAGATTATATATATCTAACAAGAATGTAAAACGAATGTCTTAAAGGATTTGAAAAGAAGGTTGCTTTTTTTTCCTTTCTAACATCCCAAAAATTTTGAAATTTTTTATAATATTTCTACTAGAGATCTAAATTCTTAAAATATTTATTTTCAAGAATGTAAAATCTCGAAACATTAAAAAAAATGTACATTTTAAATAGGAATACACGTTAAGGCAAAGAGTCTTCACGATGCATTGGAATCGACCCTAATAAATTTCTACGAGATGCAGATCTCAATAGACTATTACATATTTAAATGCACATATTATATGTGCATATATACACGCATATACGAGATTCGCGTGATAGGGAAGATTCCCTATTTTCCTCAAACGCTTCTACTCCATCGACGTTTTGCATTATTTCCCAACTATATACGTATCCCTCTCTTTCGATATACCTCCCGCCTATCTTTCCACCCAGACACCAAGCGCAAACCGAAGCCGCGTGCATACACACGCGTTCACGCATGCAATACGCGCGCGATGTGAATCTAGAAACAACACGCAAATAAATACACGGACAACGTAGCTACACAAAGAGACACGTCCTTACATACATACAGACGGATACAAATGTAAGACACGGGTGTATCTATTGATTAATAAACGCCACAGAACGCTCGCGGTTGTCTACGAACGACGAATGTGGTCCAATATGCGTGCCCTTAATTATAGCGATTAGTTCGGCGAAACGCTCGATCATTTACCATGCCGGACATTATCTATCTATCTGAGATGAAAATTACAGGACGTCTTTCAAGCTGACATTATTGAACCATATAGCTCCGTATTGTGAAAAGATCATTCATTTATTGCGTTCGATTTAAATAAATCTATTTTCCTAACGAGAAACTAATTTAATATACCTAATATTACTAAATATATGATTTACAATGTGAGAGACAAATTAAACGTAGTGCAGACACTGTGAGTTATAAGTCGCAGAACTTAAAGATCTTCTTTTCTCAATCAATAAACACTAACGCACCGTATTATATCCACTGCTGAAAAAATTCTTTTGGACTAGATCGATTTGTATTATCTCCCTCATCTTTCACTCATAGATATAATTCTTTGAAATACCCTGAGATAAACAATAACATAAATAATAAAACAAGATAGGTACTCTCTAGCATGTTTCTTTTACGATGAAGACGGGCCCAGCATATATTATGAATGATCGACCGATTTCGCTGTTTTCTGATATGTTAAGAATGTAAGGGCGTGTTTTTTATCACTTTCAAAATATCGTACGTTACTGTACAATGTATAAGTATCAAAAGCAGTTACGTGTTTTCCCTCGGGAATTCTCATTGCAAATTGAGCGATGCCGAACGACCCTAGTATCTCGAGTTACTGTTTGATCTCGTGACACGTGTGATTGTCATATTCTGTCTTTTTTTTTTTTAACTGAGATTACGCATGTCGCAGCATTGACTACGCGGATTCGCCTTCGACATATTTGCGCGCGAAACCTTATACAAATTAATTTCTCCTCGATATTCGCAACGTGTATTTAACACTGCGTAGAATGTATGTCAAAACACAAAAAAAAATCGGCCATTGCCAGATGTATCGTTCGTATGCGAATTTTGTTATTTTACTCGAATGCGATTTGTGATAGCTCGATACCCCAATTTACATTGACCCTGTCAAAGAATTGCTAGTTACACGACCCTAACTGACATCCGCAACGCGTGCTTCTTAAAGCGTCTGCGAAAACGCAGATTTCAATCACGCGTGGCCGACGTATACCGGACGCGACACCAATGTGTGCGCAGTATCCACCTGAGCTCAGATCTATGAAGCTGAATTCTATATCTATACAGATCCATAAATCCATACATTCTAAAAATTCATACGGCCGAATCAATGAACGCATCTGTAAAATGAGAAAAGTTCCCTCTAATAAGACTTACGGATCCGTAAAGTGAGAATATTATAAATTCGTGTCTTCAAAGATCCGGAGAGATACTGGATACTCACAATTTCGTGTACCAATCCATGGACACACATATATATATAAATCGGCAAACTCACGTATTCAGAAAGCGGCGAGGTCTATAACAGCATGAGACTTCCACGGAACACACTATGAACACGCTAGAATATAAGCTTATAATCCTAAGAATTCTCGCATGCCTCGTATAAACTGCCCCATCCGTTTCAATTTATAGGATCACCAAGAATATTAATATAATTTTTCGTTGACAGATGGACAAATTAATTCATCGATTCATAAGAATTCATAAGAAGAGAGTCCTTCGTACTCTTTCCTTCGATCTTACGACGCTTAATAGGGGTATTACTTATCACATTATTCCTCCAAGATCGGGATAAAGGTGAAAAGCTCCTCCCATATTATATTTCGTTCGTCTATAATCATTTTGTCAAGGATATCCGGTCTCGCGACCGGAAATTGTGAACGTTTGGTACAAACTACCACAGTTCGTCGTGTAGACATCCGTCCATATCACCGTCTATTAAATATTTCCATCTCGTGAACGGGTTTTGCCCACACATACCCACCACAAACACACACACACGTACATGTATACAGGCATACATACGATACATATACACAGACGCGCAAATAATTAATTAAGCAACTATAAGTCCCGACTCTTCTCATCTCGAACGATCCTCTAGATAAGTACATACTTCGATATCCGAATATTGAAAAGTCTCTTTTCTAGGCGCCCTCCTTACTCGCTCACACTGTGCACAACCTCCCCCCCGAATTTGTGATCTCAATACGTAGTCGTCGTTGTGAATCGATCTTGCGATCGTGGCTTGGACGGGTATAAAGGCTGCCGTCGATGATTGAATAGGATTACGTCATAGTGAATAAGACCCTCAAAAATTGAATTCCCTTAAACAATAAGAAAATAAATAATATTTTACTGTATTATGCTGTGAAATTTGCGAGGAATATTAATTTAGCGAGTTTATTTCTAAAAAAAAATGTCAAACAAAAATGTTGATTTTGATGATGATAATATATAGATGATGGAGTTAAATAATAATAATAATTTAGTTCACTGTGACAATCATCCAATCATTGCCTTTAAAAAATTTTATGTCAGAATATCAAGTATTAGTAGAAAGTGTGTAGCGCATATCGGATACGCGTATCGTTAATTGCACTAATGAATTTAGTAATTTTTTCTACGGCAATATACATCAAAATACATTCTGTGACACAAAATGACGTAAATTCTCTTTCTCGAAGATCGATGTTTAAATGTTAAAATTTGTATAATAAATAATCTTCTCCTTTAATTGATAAGTAGCTTATGGGATTTAAAGCCCAGTTTAATTCATGCTGATAAATATTATAACGATGTATATATGTATAGATCCTGGTCTATTCGTGTGGCGGGATACACGAGAGAAAAAAGATTTGTAATTGGCAATAATTGGCAATAATGAGCCAACTGGTCGCCGATTCTCGACTCTCTTGGACGATAATTATATGATAATCGTGGGATTTGCGAGAGTACTTTAGTACGAAGGCGCAAAGTAGCATTTTTTACTCTTTGGGATTACTTGCGTATGAGTCGCGTAAATAATAAATAGTCGAATAGTCTCAGGTACCTACACCTCAAAGAATATTCGTCTCGAGGGAATGCATGGAAATACTGCGCGAATTTAGAAGATCAAGGTGAGAATGCCGAACGATCGCGCGAGATTTATTCTCCAACCTGTTCGGGAAAATTCGAGAGTCTTTAGAAAAAATTATTCGAATTAACACCAAAGCTCGGTTTAAGGCAAAAATTACAAAGCGATATAATAATAATATCGATTTCTCTCTTCAACAGTCTCATCAATTAAACGCGATAACAATCATAATACAAAAAATCAATAAATGCCCTATTAAAAAATTAATTAATTAAGATTATATTACTTTCTCGACTTCATTTATGTTAAATTTTTGTTAAATATTTAGCTCTCTTTCAACCTCTCATTAGCTCACACAGTTCTCTTTATGTAGTTTTAAAAAGCATGTTTATTTACCACACTCGCATTTAACTCCAGATTTTAATTTTATTTCGAGTTTAGAATTCCAATTGTTAATATTTCTTCACAATTACCATTCTAATGCGCGTCATTCAGAAGTCGATATTTCGCACGAGCGATACCAATGTGCCCGAGCAAAGGATACCCACGTCAATCGATTACACGCGCGACATAATCGTGTTAATATAATATACGTGGATTAGCACGACCGGCTTCAACAAGAATTCGCAAGCCGCCTTAATTTTTGCTAAATAACGAATCAAACGCCACCAGGGCTGCGACAGTTGCAATATACAAATTGACTACGCTCTCGTTTCCACACGTACGTGCGTCGCCGAGCCGCTTATAATTATTTCAATTACTTTCAGATAAAATACCACGGTTTGCTCCGATCTTTGATGGCTTCGAGCAGACATCGTGTTTTTAGCCGGGCATCTATTTATAGATATTCTCAATGTAAATCCATTATCAGTAATCAGAATATCATGACAGTAATGGTTCCCACGTAAACAATATCTGTTTTTTAGTGAGCAAAATTGCAACGTATTGAGTACTTTCAAAGGGAAATGAAAGAATACAGATGTCTGATCGCAGTTGTTCTCTAAGATATCGAAGTCCACGGTACATACATATATATATAATATATATTCGTCTAGCTTCGTCTTTACTTACGTCGCGCGTCGTCAGACGGATGTAACATCAATGACAGAATCAACTAAATACCACAGAAAGCGCGTGTGATACTACGATTAACAACTATGTAGAACAGTCTACGGTTACTTAACTACCTACTCGCAATCTTATAAAACTCCGAAAAAACATCATGACGTATTATAAATCCGCCGCCAGAACGAGTTCTCACGGCCGCTTAAGTCAATTAACAAAATCGTACTCAAACAATAGGAAAGCTGTTTTTAGACTATCGTACTTTTCTCCTCCTTCTCCCCTTTATTCTCCCCCTCCTCCTCATAGATCATTTGTCCGGAATGTATAAACTCCCTTCCTCGACACTTATCACTGGTATCGGTGCGAAGCGATGCCTGTACGCGATTACATATCACCGCGGCAGATCCGCTTCGCATTTCGCGCGCTTTAGAAAATTGATATGTATTTTGTCTATTCATCTCTCATCGTTCCCTCTCACCTTTACTTTCATTTTTGGTGTCTTGACAATACTACTATGGTCATTACTTTCGAAGTGTGGTCAGGCTCAAAGGAGCTCTATTAATCCTGGTTGTCCTATATGCTCGTACATGTATAATACGATAAGGTATGTAGCCCTCTTTCAGGGCTGACATATTTGAGACGCGATTTTCGTAATCAGTTGTAAACAAAAGATATACAATTCAATTGCAAATTATATTATTTTTTGCCCGATTTTGCCTGATTTGTCTTTAAAACCATCTCTTCTCGTTATAAAAAGCCTAATGACAATTCGACGCAATCGATTGTAAGTTTTACGAGCGATCTCTGACTACCAGAGTGCCAATGCAATCTTCCTCTTTTTATCCATTATTTATTGGAAAAAAAAGTAATTATGCAATATTCCTCTCGATATTAAATCAAATGTAAAGCTTCAAATTAAAATGCCTTTCGATTATAGTTTTTATACAGTTTTATGATGGTGCAGAGGTCTTAGAATCTCGAGGATCGATCCTGCCGCAGGATCTTCCTTCGAGGACGGAATCGGGATCTACGAGAGAAACTCAAGAAGCAAAGGCAAATTATACTTGATTTTTCTTCGCGCTATCATTACGGTAGATTGGTGCGATCTAGCATCGGGTGGTGCATATTAATGTTTTTCTTTTTCACAGCGTGATATAGTCTTTGTGAGGTCTATTGGTAGTCTTTGGATCGATACATTGCCATCTTTGGTGATTTTGCGTTCTTCGACCTTGAATCTGTCTTCCCCCTTTCAATGAACTTCACGCGGACGCGAAGTTCCTATGGTGGACCACATTTTATAAGATATTTTCAGTATGCAAACCATTCGAGTTGTAATTTGCCGAAGTGTACAGTGGACTAATCATGCGAACCAATGATTCGATATTATTAGAGCGAGAGCGTGTTCTCTCGAAGGAAAAATCGTACAATCGATCGGCTTAATGCTGCAGATTGCTACTTATTTTTTCAATTCTAGAAATATCTAGAGATTTTTTACACACATTTGTTAATTCATTGATCCATAAATTCATGAATGTAAAACAGAGATTCAAATATATATATATATATATATATATATATATATATTTATTTATTTATTTATTTTCAATCCCCCATATCTTCATTAATTAATCATTTTTAAAAGTGACTTTTTTTCACTTATACTTTATTCGTCAAATGTACGACTTTCTCTCGAGTTTTTCGCTCAATAAATGATACTTTTCACTACTTTTCTTCCAGAATAAATGAGCGCTGTAAAGTCCCGGTTACCCTCGCGTTTCGCATGATTCGTTTCGCAGTGCGTTGCGCACGATGCCATATATATATATATATATGCCTATACACGTGTGTATATATATATAATATATATATATATACATATATGTATATATATATATACGTATATAAAAAAAAAATAAAACGGACTCGCTAGAGTAATTTCCTAGAGACGGTACAAAATATCTGATTGACATGTACTTCTCGCCCCTGTACTTTAAAAGTCGCGCAGTTTATACATATATTTTTTCTTCATATATATATATCTATCTGTAGATATATGTATATATATACTTCTTCATATTTTATATTAACCTCTAATATATCCTTACGCGAATACCACTCTATGTTAATGTAATAATAGCGTACTGCCTACTGATATGTGTTAGTTCACTTGTAAAGCACTTTAAAATTCAATCTAACGATTCATCGATTCCGACCGTGAATAACGACGAATCCGCCTCTTAATGGCTAATTACAAAATAACGAGCTATTGAATATACCGAATAATGCGTTTGCCGCGCCGCATCCTCGCAATTTTTCTAAGATCGACGATCATCCCTCGCGATCGCGATACTCGAGCGATCACGGTCGCGTTACCCAAACTTGTCTACTGTAATTCTCATTATCCTCCCCTCACTATATTTTTTCCTCATCTCTTCCTTTTTTGCTAGATATTTATCTTGATATATTCGAGAACCATCCCCGGCGGATTTAAAATTCTTAAAACTTTTTGTCCTTGTTACGAATTTCATTAACCCTTTGCACTCACAAGATGTAATTTATACTATTTTTCTTAATTTCAAAGGATACGCATTGAGAATATTATGGTACATTTTTTTTAAAGAAGAAGGCCAACTGTGTGTAAGTCTGGTTCCAAGCGCATGAAAGCTGTCCGCAATGAGATACGCTAATCATGTCCCTTTTTTTAATTATTAAATTACCCGTTAACGTAATCATTTGTTTTTAAATATCTGAGATAAGGACAGATCTAAATCTCAGTCCATTACACTGCTCGTCGAATTGTAAGGCCTCGATTCGATTACAACTTAGATTATACTTCCTAAAGTTTCGTAAATTACATTTTATCGCAGTGGCTTGTCAGTTAGTTGTAGCGTTAAATCCAAAATTTGTAGCATTACAAAATATCAATTTCTGATCCATCTCCATAATTCTACGTTGATATGTAAAGTAGGACTCAAGCGTAAGAGCGCAAAGGGTTAAAGTTCGCAACATTTTGCCTCACGATAACAAAGATACTTCTATTTTATCTCATCTTTTCATTCTCACGCGTGATGTATCGTGTGTTCGTCAAGTCCCAATATCGCGGAGTGATATTTCTAACGTAGTGCTCTCCAGTCGCTTTCCGTAGAAAAATAAAGAACATACTGGCGCGATTATGACTTGACGATCGATGACGACGATGACGACGATGACGACGGGCGATCAATGATGGATCAAACGATCGGCTCGCCCGAGTGCGCCAATGGATGATCGCCATTACCGAAATCCACTGTTTTAATCGGCGGCTTTTTCGTTTCTTAAGTAACTTCCACTTTCGTTAATTGCGGATGCATGTAATAAATGCCCAGTGATACAACGGGGGATACGAAGGTTGGTCGTGAAACTCTCGAGTATTCATCGGCGGAAGCTGCACAATATTATTAAAAGCTGCTCTAACAATCTTCGTTATATAGCTATTTCTTAAGATCTATTTTGTTATAATTAACGTAAACACAATCATGTTTATTAAAAATCTAAACTTATTAAAATCCTGCATCAAATACACACAGAATTATATATCTATATATATGCGAATATTATTATAATTTTTTAAAATACGCTTACATGCTTTTACGTGAGATACAAGATTTTTAAAAGTATTCCGCACGAATACAAACGGAGAAAGTCGGAGAAAATCTTCAATCATGTCAAAGAGAAATTACCAAGAGATAGCTATTACAGATTTTCATGAATTTATTGAGCCATTTCAGAAAAAGGGTTCCACTCAAAAACTTATCTTTGATCCTCGAATCATCACGAGATCTTCAATGCGCCCTCATTGCAGCTTTCCGCCATCGAGAAAGTAAAAGGAGAAGGCGGGAGGGAAAGGGAAGTGCGATACAGGGTGAAAGAGAGGCGAATGGGACGTATTTCGGGTATGGTTGCACGTTCAGAGAAGCACCGGGAGTTCTCTCTTTAGGAGTTCGAAAAATCGGGACAAGATCTATGTGTGTAACGCACTACCGATTACAGCTTGTGACTCGACCAACAGAAAGGCACTTGGGCAAATTACGTGCCGAGTTGGCCGCCGTTTCTAACACACGGGGCACATCACCTTCACTACCACCTTCCTTTCTTCCGTCCGCTCTCTCTTTCTCGCAATTTTTTTGCTTCACGGAGAAACGGACGGTCGTTCAAATTCCCCTCTCGCCACACTTTAATCCTCATTTACAGCTTAACCCTATGATATGTTCGCGTTCGTTATGTATATATATGTATAAGATTATTACTTGCAATCATTCTCTCACCTAACATCTCTCACTTATCATTCGATCCGGTGGTTGATTCTCTTCTTTTTTTCTCTCTTCCTGTCGTCGTGCATGTTTTCTCACATTCGCAATTTCATTCTCAGATTCTCACCTATCATTTCTGCTAGAATATCCTTTCTTTTTTTCTCACGCTGACACACACATACACACACACACACACTCTCTCTCTCTCTCTCTCTCTCTTTCTCTCTCTCTTTTCTCCTTTTCATTTTCTTTCTTTCACCTTCTTCACTCTCACCTAGGACACTAGACTCTTCTTAACAAGATACAATAGTTAAATGTACGCGCGCTCGTGCTTCGCGCGACGCGCCGATGATAAAACATAAATACACGCTTCTTAGGGCACCTTTGGTATTAAGCTTGATGTACTCATCTTCGCCTCACTTGTTTCGTTTCAGTGTGTGAAATACGCAATTTCGCGTTAGAGTCGCCACCAGGATTCGCATCGTATCTATCAGTGCGATTTAATCACGCGTTAATGAGCTTGATTTTTGCGAGACTCGATTCTTACGACATCACATTTTCAACAATATACGAACAATTTGAAAAGCTCAAGCTCGATGTAATGACTTATTTAGAATTTTTTACAAGTTCTTTTTCCAAAACACCCGATAGATTATTGTTGAATGCAATTTTTATATAATATATATCGCGGATCCCTGGGTGGCATGATATGTCTGAAAAAATCTCCGCAACTGTCACGTGTAAATGTGTTTGTTTGTAACGTATACGTGTACGTGTAAACAAATATCGCGGTATAACGTGCGCGTGCAGTGACTGCGAAGAGTGCCATTTTTCTTTACACATGTGTACACATACAAGAAATAAAATCCGCTTCCTCGTTTCCTTCGTTCTTCTGCCGCCTCCTCTTCGATGATCCATCTGCCCCATTTCTTTTCATCACCCTCCCCTCCTCCCTGTCTCTCGCTTCGTCGTCGTCGATCGCGATCAAAGACACGGTGAAAATAAATAGTAGGTAAAGGTAGGTACGCGAATCGAGATAAGTTAAGTTCGTTAAAAAATATATATACCTAGGAATTATTATGTGATTATATTGGGCCCCCCGCTAGAGTCGCGCGAACCAACACGCCTCCGCTCTGCAACGTCGAAGAATTTACAAGAATTTGCCTACCGGTGTGTGTTCGCTGTGTCCCTTCCGGGCGGAAGAGCGACCGAAATCTTACCCTTCCGCCCACGCTCGCAACTTTTGCGCCTCTTGTCTTCCTTACTTTTTCGTATGTGTATGTGTGTTTGTGTGTGTGTATGTGTTTACTGCTCCCGCATCCTACGTTTCGCTCCCTACGATCTCTCGTCGACGAATCTTCAATTGCTCATAATATGCGATTTCTTGTATGGTTCTTCCTCGTGTCTTGTTTTCCGATGGATATCCTGTCCTACGAGAGCACGTCCTGTCATCTCCTCGGGCCACCCGATAATCTGCCTCTTTACATGCCGTTGATGTCGATCTTAAGGTTGGCCGTTTTCTTGTCTCTTTGATCCCTGAAAAGTCGATGCAAACGATTAAGACGATTCATGATATGTGGTGCGGTACGCTCGAAACGCGAAACGCAAGAGATCACGATTGCAACGAGACGATATTTTCATAATTTAATCGCATATCACTAATACGCGGGACCATCTCAGAAAGAATTAATTACTTCCTTCTGAAACACACACACAATAATTCTTTAATTTTCTCGCCACTATACCACTATGTGTAACAGATATTCTTAATAATATACACACAAGAAAATTGCATCATCTTTAAGCTATAATTGTTAATATATATTATTACTCAAATATGTTCAAAGATATCGCAGAAAATTCGAGTTCCTATAAGAATAGAAAATTGCTGAAATTGGAGTTTCGAATATTCAAAGACGCGATTGTGTCGCAAACATTAAAAACCCAAAAGTCGATGGTCATTCATAACGAATTTTTTATAATACCGGTTCTCAAAGTCACCCGTAGTGACAGTTTAAAAAAAGACTCGGTCGAGGATCCGAACGAGGATGAAAGGACAACCTACATTTGTCTTGTTACCACATAAAGAGTGTCCGCGCGAAGCTGAAGAGACGACATTGCCATTGAGTAATTTGCGTACCTCATTAGGACGTGACTGTGCTGAAAAGCGCTCTTTCACGGTTCGTTCAAAGCTCTCGGTCGACGAAGGAACACATATACGGTGAAGAAAAGGAGGATATAATAAGGAAAGCAGAAGATATAGGGATATAGACAGACAGATTGAATTTTGTTACGTCTTGAGAGAGAAATCCCACAGGAATAGAGATTTTATGAATAAAACGTATTTACATATACCAACGGTAGATTCAAGACAGAGTCGTGAGCGACGCGAATAAGAAAATAAAACAATGTAAATCTTATGACAATATTTCTTCACGGCGTATTAGTACTGTAGAGATTCTTAAATATAAAAGACTTATATTTTCAGTATCGATATTGAGTATATATAATATCGAGTATTAAGCATTTTTGAATAAAAATAATATATCCAATTATTATACGCAAATAATTATTTTATAATATTTACAGTACAGTGTATATAAATAAATGTATATAAATAAAAGACAGAAAAACGCAGTATATGTAAATTTATATTAATAAATACAATCTACTCTAAAGAAAAATTAAGAAATAGATAAAGAAATTTGAAATTTTCAGTATTTACATAAAAAGAAATTAGAGAATTTAGAAATTCAGAAAGTGAGAAAATCTTGGAAATTCAGTGAAACAAATCAACGCAAACAAATTTCATAAACATAAAAATCTAGAAAGTTTTCTCCTACAGAAGCGAAAAATTAAAATCTCGACTATTCAACAATTTAAGTCCTGGGTCTCTCTCTCTCTCTCTCTCTCTCTCTCTCTCTCTCTCTCTCTCAACAATTATATAAAAAGGTTCTCCTTCATCTATTAAAAGCAAAATATTTTTTTTCTTTTCTGATATACACATGCAATAAGGACAGAGGAAGAGGAAATATTCATAGGATTAAATGTTTGCGGAAAGGGCAAGAGTTTTAATTCATCGAGTATTCCACGAGGTGAATGTTGCGGTGCCAGACGTCTTTATAAAACGACGTGAATTAACGATGACGTGTTCGGCCGTGCCCAGCCCCAAGCGAACCGTATCGATCGTTTAATTCGAAAATGGGGAGGTCGATCCGTAGCCGCAGCTTCGTTTATAGCGTGACCAATCGCAACTTTTCGGCATCACGTATAAATAAACAAGTTGCTACAGAATCGCAAACTGCGAGCGAACGATATCGATCCATTGATTTTAAAGGGTAAGGTCGAGCGATCCGAAGCGCTCTTTTATAGCGTCCGATCAATTTTTGGTGACACACTTTTATCGCGACGCGATTCCATTTTTGGACGTTTCGAACGGATTGCCAAGTCCTTCATTTCTATTTCTCAGTCTTCTACATATTTAAAAAATGCATCAGTAGCTTTAAATCCATATCCCTTCTAGATCTGTTCCGATTCTTCAAATCTGTAAGAACCAATTGTTCTAATATTGTGTATATAGTCAAATCTTTAGTTTATCGATTAGTTCATTTTCTCTTTTCGACAAAAGGTCAAAGAAGTTAAGGAAAAGGCAAATCATGAAAATAATAAGCTTATAAGCTTATTTTTACGATTCAATTGGATCTTACATATAGTTACGTAAATTTTCCGATTTAAAAAAACTTGCATTCTTGCTTAGATTCTTACATTCTTCTAACTTTCACATGCACGGTTATTATCCTCTATTTTTAACTTAAAAATGATGCAAACTTTTTCTTGACGTGTCTGCAGTTATGCATATCGAATATCACACGTAAATAATATTATGGTTGTTATGAGATTTGCCGAAATATTACTACCATATTTCAGCCAAACGAACAACTCCGCCAGCCTCATTTAACGCAGTTTAATTACTTAGCTAATTAATTAGTTCAATCCTTTTAGTGGTTGGATAACCTGTGAGTTGAACTTGGTTCAGCCCTTAAATTACGTAAGTGGGATCGATCCTTAAATGTCCGACAAATCTTCCTTCATCGGCGGAAATACGGTCTTGATTAAAAGCGGAACCTCAGAATCATCGTTTTGTCTGACTTTCCTCTTTTTTACTTTATATGAACTGTTGTTGCAATTCTTGAAATTCATTTTGCTCAAACTGATCAAAGTTAAATCGAAAAATAAAATGAACGTTAACATATCAACCTTTGTTTTTATACATATTAAATATTTTTTATACAAACATTTTTAAAAAATATATACATTTCTCCCGACGTTGTAAGAAATAGAAAATGATTGCATAAAATCTTAAATAAAATCTTAAAATATGTACAAAATGTATCACATCCAATATGTAACAAAGAAAAAATAAAATATTTCATTATCACAAATCTCTAATCAATAATAAAAAAGTAATTTCAATCACTAAAATTGATTCTAATATTTTATACAGCCAATCTTTCCCCAAGCATTACTACAGCCGATTAGTTGCTACAGGATGGTGCATAGTGCTCATCATATCTATATGGTATAGTAAAACAAAGATAGATTTGATACAGCGGAAATAAACATACACAGGAAGGGAAGGGATCTCGTATGAAGGAAATTACACCGTAAAAACGAGCGAATCGACAAACAGGCATCAATAAAGAAGGAACACGAGGGGAATACAACAGGAAAAAGAGAGAACTTAGAATCTAGGATTGAAACCATATAATGTGGATGAGTTCAATTTTCAATGCTACAATAAAATTTACCTTGCCAAGTATCGCCATTCTTTCCCATCCGTCAGAAATAGAGATATCGAGATCACTTTTGCCTGTCCCTAACATCGAAATCTGAACTCTTCGAAATTATAATTTGGCCTCTGTTTGAAATCGTGCAAAAATTTGAAAAAGGGAAAATCATAAAAAAAAGGAAAAAATAATACAAAACAGATAAAGAAAATTATACGTTCCGATCGCAGAAATGGGAACATATATATCTCAATCGAGCAATAGAGAGATAAAGAGAAAAAGAAAAAAAAAAGAAAGAAAGACGGGCAGATTCGCCGGCTTTCACATGATCGGTAGGCGATTAATGACGGATAATTGACAATTGGCACCAACGCACGAGAGTGCATCTACTGCTCGGATACGAGTCCTCGACGGGACAGCCGTCGTCGGACTTTCGACCAGATTTAATTGGCCTTCAAAGTGACGGCCTGTCTGGCGCCTCGAGGCACGAACGCTTTCGAGGGCAAAACCGCGTGAGTTAGATCGAATAATGACCGAATAATTGGATCCAGGATCCACTGGGCCCAATGCATTTCGGTGTCGGCGACAAAAGTAAAGATTCGAAATCGATATCATTTCGATGACGTCAGCTTCGATGATATGGACGTAGAAAAATGTGCCATTTCTGCGGTTTTATAAATATTACAGTCATTTTTCTACATCTATAGCATCAATATACGTAAACTCATCGAGATCATATCGGTTTCGATCCCTAGACGAAAACGCACAGCTGTACTTTCCAAAGAGTTCCAATAAAACATTGCTCTAAAATAATTTTTTTTTTTAAAGATTGATTATTTAAACTTGATATTTGTGTTTTAAATCATAATTTATTTGTAACATTATATATATGTTTTCAAATTAAATTAATGTTTTCTTTATAAATTCCTAATTTTATTATATTACGAAGACTATGAATTGCAGTTTTGAAGGAGAATTGTTAAAACTCAATTTTCCCTCTCTCATATCATCTTCACGTCTCACCAAAATATTCGTTGAGTAGAATATCAGAATTATATTCGTATTTTCCATATATAACTAAACATTATAAAGCATCTTTCTCTAATAAAGTATTTTGAATCTTGGAGTATAATAATAATTATTATTAGCGCCGAATGCAAATAAGAGAATATAAAATGTCACGAAAGCACAGCCCTACGTATTCGCCGTTGATCGCATTTTCGCGGAGGCGGCTCTACCGTAGGGCGGACCACCCAGAGCCTCGTATATGTGCAAAAGTCTCGTGCTAGATCACAGTAAACACTTATGTGTTAAGGACTTGGGCGCATAAGCGAGACCGCTGGGTATTCGAAGGTACGCAAGCTCCAGGCTTGACCGCAACAAATACTCTCGTCGAGGCTCTCAGCATGTGCAAAGTGCGCGAAAAACGCCCTCGCTAAAATCCTCGCGCGCGCTAAGATCTTTCTCGGATCTCTCGAAGACCATCTTCGCCTTATGAATTATACCACGAGAATAAACACCGAGGGTTTCGAGCTCGCGAATACCTTATACGAAAGCTCGCCTATTTCAAATAGAGCCGCCCCCCCGCGTCCTTTGCAGCGGTCTATCGTAGCATAAAGTGAAACCTACTTCGATCCAGAGATTTGTAAAGCCCACCTCGGCCATTTTTGACTTTGCATATTCGATTCGTATCGCTCCCCGGTCGGAGGAGAGGAGAAAGGATCCTTGGAGAGTGGCCATCGCCTGGGCCGCGTAGCGAACGTCTTGATATTCGACAAAGGCCACTGGCGAGCCTCCCTTCGTGTGCATACGAAGCCGGGAGAAACCAGGAAAACTGTGCACAAATAAGAGAAGCGTACAATACGTGCTCTAGTTAGTCGTAAAGACAGTACTTTGGTAAAGGGGAAGTTTAGAAGGGTTTTGGCGGGGGTCTTGGTTACTGCTTGGTTGTCATTAATGGTGTCGATGGTGTCAGGCGGTGCCGACATGGGGTGATTACACGGAGGGGATGCGACACAAACTCAGGATCGAATTTAGATCGTTAAATGCTGTGAATTATTTACCTTAGCATGTATGTGCGCAAATTATTTTGGGGGAATTTAACATGTACAGAGATAATTACATACATACAATGCATATATGTATAATTGTATGTAAAAAGAGAAAATTATTAAAATTAAATAATAAAGTAATCTGTACAATTATTATTTTGCAAAATCTTTCTTAAATATAAGAAATATCGCAGAAATAATTGAAATTATTTTTAAAAATGTGATCAAATATTTGAAAAATTATCAACAGAAGCATATCTATGTAAAATAGATTCTCGTAATCATCACTCATTGTTATACTGTTCATTTTATAACAAACAATGAGATTGTTATAGTAAAATTATATTATATTTTTCTTTCTATTTTACACCATATATATTGTTCCTTCCATTTTAATCGTTTCGTATTAGGTTCACAGTGCATTCGCAAATCCGCGATTAGCCGATTATGTTCGCGATATAGGGACATTACCCTCCGTGCAAACCCGTTCAGCACACCGACAATTAGTAAACGGCACTGGTCGCATGGTACGGGTACTAGTACAGGTGCGTCCTATATGCCTACAATCTACGACGGTGGCAAATGATTAGCGGATGTCAGTGATGTTTGGAGGCGGTGCTGTTAGTACAAAGCTTTCAGCGTTCACGACGGACTTGCACAATTTCGATTATCATCGCGCCCTCGGCACGACGATTAAATTTAAGTGGAGATATACTTGATGTTTTGTCGGTTGTTTGTTATCTTTCGATTACTATGGTCATCGATTTAATTTGCTTGTTTACAAATCTCAACCAGAATAAACTAAATAAATATAAACCCAAACTCTAATAAATTTGAAGATCTACAAACTGATTAATGCACAAAAATCTACGAGAACGCACATATAAGCTCACAAATTCATGGATCCAGAGACTTGTATAATTCTAGAGTCGATATTAAATATCTCCCCTTTTTGATATCTACAATATATTCTTTAATTAATTTAAAACCTATTTTTAAGAAAAAAAATTAGAGAAAGGTGTTTGCTTCCTGAGATTTTTCAAAATTTAAAATTAATAAATATTTCAGTAATTATATAACGATTAATTAAGATTCGGGTTTCTGAAACATGCTAGATTTCATATTTTATAAAAAGAAAAAGAAATTAAATCTTACATTATAGAAAAAATATTTTTAAATAACCTTATGCACATTCTATAATCCAAAATATTTGCGCAAGATTGCAAAATTCTTTTGTCTTTTTTGTCTTCGACAAATGTGCTTTTTCTCAAGCTTATTAACGCGAAATAATTACCCGTGCAAGAACAACGGATGAATTACATGCGACGAGCGGAATGTATTCACGTCGTCGACGACGAAATTCCGTCGAATACTCCTGTGAGCTACCGAAAATTGCAGAATGCGCAGCGCGCCTCTCGCACGTGCAAACGCGTGTAATTAACTCAGGCACTCACTTACGAATTCATACTGCAGAACTCTGGGGTTTGCGGGATAATGAGATTTCGCGGGCTAATTATACGGGGGGAGGAAGAGCTTCTCTATTGACGGCGGAACTTACGAGACAGTCGCACGCAGACTTCCGTCAACGGCGAAACTCGAAAGAGTAGATCGCGTCTTCTGGATCGCTATTCGTACACTGTGTCTCAATGAAATTGTTGTACTAGCGATTCTTAATATCTTGTGAGAATTTTCTATTTCGAATATCGATTAACTGCAAATTCTATAACTAATGTTTGAAAAGTAAATATTATAATAAGAAAAAGTAGTGTTTAAATAATAATAGTATGATTTTTTAAACATACAGGAAAAATAAAAAGAACTTATTGTAAACTGTGGTAGTATCATTTAAATAATAATATAAATTTAATAAATTTTTTTATACGATATGCTTTCCTTAACAAAATACAATTGACAAATTTAAGATTTATTAGACATAATAGCTAATATGTATATTGCTTCCTCATAGAGGAAGCTTTGTGATGGTGAAAAAATTTTTTTTCGAGATTTTGATGGAAATAGGTTTAGAATGTTCTAAAATGTCGAAAAATCGTATTAGTAAAAAATGTCCGGAAGTATGTATGTATGTGTGTGTGTGTGTGTGTGTGTACGGATTTTTTGTACACGCATCTACTTCTACAATTTTTTAGATACCGGGTTGAAATTTGGCACACAAATAGAGTATCATAGAAAGTATGTCCTCCTCAAATTTTATTAAAATCCATAAAACGGTATAGATTTTATGCAGATTTTCATTTTTTTGAAAAATGTGTTTTACGCTGCATCTTTCTCAATATTTGAGATAGCGATCTATTTTTAACTCTATTATATTTTTGAGTTTTTTCTACCCCTATTTCATATATAATTCATTAAAATTTGATTGATTAGATCTCGTGTTACACACATTTGAAATTTCGGAGAATTATACATACAGTTTCTAATTTATATAATAATTGAAATCGAGTTAAAATGTTCATATTTGATAGCTTCGGTTTTATCTCGAAAAATCGTATTAGTAAAAAATGTCCGGAAGTATGTATGTATGTGTGTGTGTGTGTGTGTGTGTGTACGGATTTTTTGTACACGCATCTACTTCTACAATTTTTTAGATACCTGGTTGAAATTTTTAAAGAGGTTAAGTTTTTAAAGAGTTAGGTGTGCGAGTAGAAACCTGCACATTGCTTGATTAGAGTTTTTAAGTGTTTAAGTAGAAACCTTCGCACACAAAGCTTCCTCTATGAGGAAGCCAACACAAATAAATACTGAAAATTATACATTGAAAAAAATAATGCTTCATCAACTTGCACACTTAATAACTATGAGGAAGCAATGTGCAAGTTTCAACTTGCACAATTTCATCTTGTGTGTATATTATTCGGCAATCACGCGGAAAAAAAGTCAAAACATTTTCTTCTAGATTCTTGCTATTGAATTATCTTAAACTAAATAAAATATATATATATTTTAGTTTTTACTTAAACACTTTTATCATCGAAAGAATTATAATTATCGAAAAGAATTATTTTATTTTTAAATTTTTATTTTTTTCTCGAATCAACGAATATATTTGTGCATAAATTTCCAAATAATATATATATATACATATATACAATATACGTACGGATAAAAAATAATGCCTCCTAATTTTTTTCTTTTGAATCTGACGCCATAGAAAATTTTGCGTTTCACTGAATTGATACTTGAAATCTCTAGTTGTACTATGTTGAGTGGTTGAGTGGTTACGTCAGTTACGTTAGTGTGTCACACGAACAGTTCAAACTGATGTGTGTTTCAGATATGTTTAATAGACAAGGGCGGTAATTGAATTTCTTACCGTGGAAGAAGTGAGTCCTATTGAAATCCATTCGCATTTCAGAAATGATGTTATATCATAAACATTTCTGAGACGCGAATGAATTTCAATGGCTGCGTTGAGCAGAAAGGGCAACTCAACGAGCGATCAGTGATTTTTTTAAATGATTGAATCTTGCCTTTAGTTCTTCCCTGGATCCAAGTGTAGAAACCAATTGTAATAAAGAATCATTGAGCGCTCATTGAACTGCTTTCTCCGCTGAACGCAGCCATTGGAACTCACTTCTTCCACGATAAGAAATTCGACCACCGTCCTTGTCTGTTATGCATATCTGAAACATAACACCAGTTCGAACTGCTCGTGTGACACACTCACGTAAATGATCGCAACACCACTCAACATAGTGCAACTAGAGACTTCAAGTAACAACTCACAATCAGTCAAACGCAAAATTTTCTATGGCGTCAGATTTGAAAGAAAAAATTAGGAAGCATTACTTTCGTACCGACCCTATATATATAGATATCTTCTCTTTCTGTAATTATATATTTTTAGAAGTTGGGTAAATATAATTTTACACTGTTAATATTTAAATCCTTGAATTTCTGAGTTTATAATGTGCAAATTATGAACTGTATAAAAATATGAAATATATCACATCTCATAATTTTTTACAATGCAACTATTAAACTTCGTCTCTCTTTTTTTTGTGCTTTTTTAAATAGCCACCATAGTAATCGATATCAGAATTACCCCAAAACAACTACTCCAAATATTCTATTAAACAAAAAGTATCCAAGTATTCTAGCAGTTTCATATAATTTCGCAGTGCAACGTACAAAAATTAATTCACGTAACTTTCTCTTGTTACCGGCAATTATTATAATCCCGCGACTGCAAATACGTGATCGAGGTTCGCAGCATTAATCAAAGATAAATAAATGTCTTTTTACCAGATCTCACAGTTATTCCTATTCCTACGTAGAAACTTATGTATGTACGAAACGGCGGATATTAACCGCGGTTTAACCGATTTAGCGTAGAACATATCGAAAGAGTTCGTAATTCTCGACTCAATGATTCACGACGTACTGGAGGCGTGCTCAGGATCGTGGGAAGGTTCCGCATGGCGGGGTACATGAAAATAATTTATTACGCGAGCGCAACTGTGTAATGCCCGGCCGGATAACATATTTTAACTTTACCGCTTGTTGGATAGCTGACACTTAAGCGAGCAGTCTAATTGCGAATATCTCCGTCCGCAATTAACGGGTCACCATGTTTAATTACGATTTTGCGTTTTACATTCTTTATGACCCGAAAGTTCCCGTCCTGTGATATATGCCAATCAGAACAATAATGTAATAATTAATAATAAGTATATTGCAAATTTTTCAAGCGTCAGGAACGATAAGGATTGCATATATTATACGCTTTTGACGCCATGCTCGCGATCTCTATCGGCGTTTTTTGTCCAATGCAAGAAATCCTTGGACGCATACATCCTTGCTAAAGTTATATAACTATATGACGACGTAAATCATTAACAATGCACACAACAAGGTACTTCTTTAAACACAAAACTACCGATCTTCAGTTTATCTGGTATTTATTCACGTAAGTTTGGTTTTAATTTAAAAATTGTTGTAATTACAGGATTTTTTTATTTAAGTATATGTATTAACAAATCTAATTGTTAGATTCATTACAGATTTAACGAGTCTAGAATTCATAAGTCAAAGATCCAAGAATCGAGAGATTTTTTTATCTTTCTATTAAAGATTTCCACTAGATAAAATAATCTAAAGGTCAAAGAGATAAAATATTAAAAAATCCGAAAATTTTTTATTAAAAAATTGAAAACTAAAAAGTATAACAATTTTAAAATTTATTCATAGATATCAGAAATGCTTTTGCCGCCGTATTCCCGTTGCTCATTCATCGAGAATAGCAAATGTTTCGAACACACCACGACATAGTGATATCGCCACCACGTGGTGCACTGATAAGACCCACGTGTATCGGTACCCGTATCGCAATTGGCGCGCATTTACTACCAGCATATGCACATCATATAAACATGACTATGTTCTTTCGAGCAATCTATTATCTTCGTTATCATTGTAATTATGATTAATATTTGTGTCTTCTGACATTTTGCGTTAAAATAAAATAAATTATCTATTGTAATGAACGCGGTCTTTAAATAATATTTTATATGTCATTTTATGTATTGCAGCCTGTAAATTGAGATCCCGTTAAAAGTCTTAATATATGTATATAATAATAAGAAACATTTAATTTCATCACTGTGTATAATTGAGATATTTCACTGGAACTTTTGTCTGGTGTACTATTTTTATAAATTTATCTCGCGACTCCTACACCTTCGCCACACGGCAATAATGCACCTTGATGCATTTTAAAAACTGTCCTTATATAGGATCGCGATAATCACACATATGTGGTTGCCATAGAATATATAAATATAATAAATCGATAAGCGAGCGCAACCGATAAGCGAGCATATGCGATTCGCTCGCATACGGCTATGGATTAAAGAAAATAAAAAGCAAATGGGTGAGATGTCTGACCTGCTGAAGATGTCCTTTAGCTCATGCTCGGACACGAACTGGCCCAGGTTTGCCACGAAGAGGGTGGAGCACTGCGCATTGCTGACGGCTATGTTCGGCTGTGATGAGGGTGATCCGACCGGTGACGCCAGTGCCGGCGACGGTAAAAAATGAGGCAGCGACGCGTGTATCGACGTCAACGTCGTAGGATGCGGCAGGGACATAGGCGCCTGGAAAATATAAATAATTCCGTCATGCACTCAACTCGCTCCGCTCGGCCATGAGTAGTCGGTTTGCTCGCACAGATCGACGCGTTTGCGTCAATCCGCCATGTCTTTCCCAGCCCTACTATTTGTCCCTTCAACAAAAAAAATTACACCTTTTCAGACAGCAAAAAAACTGAAGTCTAAAGGTCGTCCCGACATAGGGAACATACTTCCTCGATCGAAGGAAACAGCGCGTACCATTCGCGAAAATATTGCGAAAAACGAACAGGTATCCAAAGAATTAGAATCTAAGAGAAATTTCAATGTGTATGTTCTAACCTTTGGAATTTAAGTATGTCTTCTAAACATTTTTCTTGCGTGAACATATTCGCGTTAATTATAAGCCCACATTAAACCTTTTTTGTAATAATGGTCTTAAATTGTATGTTGCAAATTGCTATGCAAAATAGTCAACTCATATTACTTCTAATCACAGATCAAAGCACTTTTTTTTAATCTCTTGAGAGCAAAGTTATTTTTACCGGCACAATACTTTTTATTGATAAATTTAAAATAATGATTGATATATGACTAATCAATCGCATCGAAATGAATTATATAACGCAAGGAAACACAGCAGATTTCTCATCTAATACATACATATATACAAATATGTCTGTAAAATATATCAACATGAAAGGAATGATTCTGAATCATTTGCATTGAGTATCGTTATTAACTTATCAAAGCGATGATAAATCTCGCCAACGATTCTCGGTTTCGTCAAGTCGTTCGAAAATGCATTTAATCGAGTTGAATCGCAGAAGATATTCAACTTAATAAGTTCCGACGTTATTGCTACCAGGTTCTCGGTTCGTTATTCCTCAAGTGGATATCTCGAGATTCGCTTCCTTTTTACTTCCGTTAAAGGCAAGATGCGTACGGAGAAAAAGGAAATAATAGCGCGGCAGTCCGGGCTCGAGAGCCTTCGATTTATCAAACGTTCAATGCAACAGATTTTCTCTCTCGTGCGGCTAAATTCAAAGAATATCGACAGTGCTCTCAATTTTCGTAACAAAGATATTTTATGTTCGAGATTTGACGTGTGTATGTGAGTTGTAAAAAATTGATTTCCATTACTTCCAAAAGCTTTCTCAACATAATCCTTTTGCTAAATCGATATCCTGCCATAAAATAACAGTTTCATATATCTGACTTTTCTCGTGTAAAACTATTTTTAAGAATTTAGTTTATATTTTACAAAACAGTATACTTTTACGATTTTTGCGAAGTTTCTTCTGTAACGGCATCAGTATTAAACAAGAAGGAAGAATCACAAACTTATAGAATCTTAAGTATTAGAAACTTTAAGATTGAACGATGCAGGAATGATTTATAGATTTAAGAACTTAACTATATGAAACGATAACCCCCAAGAATATAATCAAATAATAAAATGTCTCCCGAAGTATTCGATTATTTAAATAGAAAATTATATCACTCCTAAAAATATAAGAGTTCAAAAAGTCACAAAATTCAAGCAAATATAATTTTGAGCAATGCTATTTACTTATATGAAATCCAGAAATGTCGGGATGTCAATTAATAGTATTAAAAAATTCAGTTGTCTATTTCTCTCAAAATTTATAAATTTTCAACACTAAGTATCGAGATATATTCACAATAACATTGTATCACGATTCTTTATCCTCGCATTCTCGATTAATCCATAATTTGCTGTGGCACGTAACGAAATAATATTGATCTTTTATTACAGTATAAAAGCAACTCATAATATCATACGCAATGCGATCGATAAAGTAGAGATTGTATCACGTTCGTCCACATTCGTGACTATATATCGTCCCGCTATTTGTCTTCATAGAAATCGGTAGAGGTGTGTTTCACGAGCAAGTTACGGGTCGGCATTAATGCGTGACAGATATCCACGTAAACCTGGCACAGACTTATGCGATATTAAAAATCAATAAAGTCGTGGATTGGTACCACCGGATTGGCATCGCCAATATCTTAAAGAAAATTGAAGGTATAATACTCGCGCTGAACAATCTTTCCGATTTTTCGAGCTTCGAGCTTCATTGAATATTAATCTTTTCCCTGAAGTATTCATTAGATAAGACTAATAGATACAAATTTTTAGTCGTATCGAAAGCCGTATTAAGATAGAAGAACAGTGTCTCTTTTCAATCTTACATCAGATTTTAAAATATTTAAACAAAAGATGAATTCCAAAAATAACGAAGACTTTGATATGGAAAATGTATATGTATACCCCTATTTCTATGTCTTTACATATATCTCTTCATTTAACTTTCCATATACCCTTAGATTAGATGCTGCTAATTACCTAACATGTGGCTTATCGGAGTTATTTATGGTTGTACCTTACTCATCATCTATCTTCATTAATAACTATGAAATAACCCCGAACCGTAGATATCGTCAACATATAATGTCCCCAAGTTTTGAATACTACTCCCCAGCTTGTAAAATTAAAACGGCGGAAAAATATGTACGATGCGGATAGACTGAAGAAAAAGTAAGCCATGGATTTATTAACGTCTACGGCGACCATAATTAATCCATGTCGCGACAAACTACGGAGACATCGCAATAACTTCGAAACTCTGCGATTCGAAGCTAGCGTGATATATACCCACACGGCTGCACATTTCTGCATAATACGTGAGGACACGCAGTGCGACGACAAGTTGCGCTATCGATTTTGTGACGATATAAAGCATAACATTCGAATATGCTGACTGATGATATTACACGCGTATACGGAAAAAATGTTATTTATAATAATTCGCATAGTATTATTCATTACGGTTAAGCTATTTTGGTTTTATGTAATGTTTATACAGAGTCAGGTATCATCACCGCATCAATTTTTAACGATGAGCTTTCTGCTCTAATTGCAACCGATCTTTTCTCAAATACACAGATTTCAAATTATAGGCTATTAATAATAAATAACATTGGGAAATTTTAAACATGCAAAGAGCAGAATTTTATCTTCATTTAAGTTTATTTTAAAAATTGTATAATTTAAAAATGTATTACAAAGATTAAAGATGGAAAAGTCTACTTCAAATTCATCAAAAAATCAAATTAATTATTAAAACTGATTATTCAAGATGCGATAATGATAAAGCACCCTATATACATAGTTCGCATAAAAACCTTTAAAGCAATAATCTAAATATTTAATAAATATTTTTTCTCCAAAAATCTAAAAATTTAAAGGTTCACAAACCTAAAGGTCTACGCGAAAATCTAAGAAATTCGACGATTTAAAGCGTTTATAAAAAGAGACCGAAGGATTAAAACGCTAAAAAATTCAACACCCAAGAATCTAAAAAATCCAGGAGTCGAGGGCTCAAGGTAGTCATGATCGAAAGCATTTTCGGTCCTTGAACCCTCATGAATCTCCTTGTTACCATGTAAGAGTAATCGAGTATAACGATCATGTATCACTAACGTGCATCGGGGCGCTCGTCGGCGGCTCCAGAGCTTTGTCTGCAGATAGTCAAAGATAGGAACGTACGGGGACCTGAGGATGTAACGCCGGGTGCACCAGCGTCGCATGTTGCAGCGTGCCCGGTAATTCGCCGGCTGTAGAATACGCCAATGGATGATGCCACAATTCAGGACCACCGGGGAAGAATGGACTCCCTAGGTCTGCAATAGAGCACAGGATTAGATAGAGTCGCTCCCCTGAGTAATTAAATGCGCGGTTGCGAACCGCGTTTCACGCACGTTCTTGCTCGTCAGGATATCTACTAATACTGGCCAGAGATAAATTTTTATCTTTTTCATATCGGATATATCATAAATATATTTTAATTTAATACACTGACATTTTTCAACATAAAAATAATAGGTATTAGCAGAAAAAGATTTATTAAATGTTGACTATATTTGTGTAAGTATCTTTTAACAAAATTAATAAAATTATTTGTAATTAAAATTTTTTAATACAAAAATGAAAAAAATTTTTAGAAATTCTATTAGAAATAGAAATATATCGGAAGGTTAAAATTTTGCTTATATCACAGTAGATATCTTTACATACACATACAGTAGATATCCTGTTCAATATATAATTATTTATATCAATCTTTCAATATTTTTGGGCAGCTTTCATGTAAAGTTTTGCTAAACATTATTTTTATACATGAAACATTATTACATTCCTTCTTATAAAAAATTTGATTTTAAATTGATCTATTTCTTCATTTACCAGCATACACTGTTTTTTACGTAAAAGCTGCCTATTAGTCTTTGCTATAGCAAAACTAATGACATTCATTATTAACAGGTCACAGAACCGTGTTACTCGCGGTCAAAACAAGTTATTTAAATATCGCATAAAATGTATCGGGTTCGAGGTGAAACGCACCGAAAGGTCGCGGCAATTTGCTGCGCAGATTATTAGCATTGTAATCGTCGAGATACTCAATGCACTTTTTATAATAAAACGCAAAATTATTTTGTCCTATTCGCGATGGAGATTAGATATGTATCTGACGCAAAAAAAAACGATAAAACATTACACCATTTGCTCGTGGTCGAAGGAAAGTGGACGCAATTCAATCAACATTTTACTAGTGATTACGCAATCAATAACGTCCAATTCATGATTTCTTTTCTTTACTTTAGTTACGAAGACGTACGAAGATAGAAACGATAATTACGGTACAGGGATTTTCGAAAGTTGGACAATGAGATTAAAAAAAGATCGATAAAAGCTCAGACGTATTAAAGATTATCTTTTACAACTAGGATATCGCAAATGGTAATTATAAAAGACTATATATAAATTACTATACATCAATAGATATTATATAATTAATAAATACCACAATTTTATATATTGAATTAATCGATATGAGTTTCGTAAAATAATTATTTCTTATCCTTTAGTGATTACGTGAAAATATATTCTTTAAAAATATATTTTTATATTTTTTATTTAAAATAACTAAATTAATGTAGCAGAGCTATTTAAATTACAAAAAATTTCAACCATTTATTTTGCTATATGTAAAAACTTGTATTTCTTCTTGTAATGTTTTATTTTTATTTATTTGTTTTTCATTTATGAACAAATATAATAAACTTATTTATAAATAACTAGTAAAAATTCATTTACCACTTAAGTAAAATTTAGAAACTTTATGTCGCAAATATTGCCACTCCAAGGAGCACCACGACGCAGATTATTCGCGGTGTAATGGCAGAGTACAGTGCGCCATCGAGCGTAATCGCCGACGGCACGACATGAAAAAAATGGTCTTCTTGGAAGCCGGTAAATCGCTGGAGAGGGACTTATGATTAGGCGTTACGAGCCAGTGACAATGGTAAACCGAGCGTCTTCTCAGCGACGCGCCGGCGAACCTTCATTTACAACTTCGTTCGCGACACTGATCTCGTTACGCAATTCATATAATATTTACATTGTTTATCTTTCTCGAAACATTTCAGCCTCTAATTATTTAATTCTAGTTTCCGAGCGATTTTTGTTGTGTCAGCTTAATGGCGCTACCTAAATACACGACTTTTCTCCGTCATGGAGAGAGTCAAACGATAAAAAAAAGCTGGCGAATTCTTGCAGAATATTCTTTTTAGCTATTTTCTCCTCTTTTTGTTGGCACTCGCATACGTGATTGCTATTACAAATGTAAAATTTGTAAGAAAAAAAAAACAGTAGCGACAAGTCAACACGAAGTTTGCGTCTATGTGAAACTGCGCCTTTTCTGTCGCGTTTCGTCACGAACGCGCAATTACTCCGCAATTTTTTTACTTGTATGAATTGTCGGAGCCACAGAGGCAAATGTATAACAAAACGCTCTTTCATACGCCACGCATCGCGATCGAGCATCGCGAAAATCTTGCGTCACTCACTTGCATATGTCCGTGCGATCAACTAGACAGCATATGATCTATTTCTTTCGATGACAAGCCAACTACAATCTTGCATAGATGTATTTTTATCTTGAAAATATTAATGTATCAATACGTCTGCAACTAAGCTAAGATTTATCGTTGAAATAACGTATCTCAACAATCCGTACAATAAATAATGTATAGCAATACATAATTCAAAGGCTCTCTCTTCATATAATTGTAATTTAATTCCATAATTGAATTTACCGAAATCATTTTTAATAGCATTTTTCAATATTTCCATGTCAATTGTAATTATACGTTAACCTGAATTATAAATAGGTAATAAAAATTAAATTGTAACTTATCATTTTTGATATTATTAATATAATTATATAATTCCCAATTAAATCATCGGTTAATCAACGATTTATTCGTGAAGAATTTTAAAGCACAAACAAAAATAAAAGATAAATAATCAGAACTTTAATTGTGAAAAGCCGCATAATTGGGTCACAAAATATTTTTGACCAAAACATTCAAATTAATCAAAATTCTTTCCTTCCTCTCTCTCTTCTTGGACATTTTTGTTACAAGTTAATTTCTAAGTTGCGTTAAAAGATGTTACTATTCTAAATACATGGAAAATATGATACTATTGTATATACATGGAAACTAATTGTATCCGCAACACAAAGATCGTATTGTTTCCTTTTGCAAGCCAACATTTTTATGTAACAAGAGAAATGCAACAATTTAATTTTCTAAAAGTTGAGCAACTATTGTAAATCCCATGAAATCTCCTGAGATTTATATCTCCCCTCCCCCCTTTCCTCGAGCAAAGAAGCTTTATTTTCATTAAAATGTGATTGTTCGCCAACAGAAGCCACTGCATAAGCCCTTACGTGTATATATGTCTGCCATTCGGTGGTGTGTTTTAGTCCCTGCCAGGACTGTGCACTTTATTGATTCTAGGCTGACCTCCGATTCGCATGGTGAAGCACACAGGCTCGAGTAAACGCGTACCGTCTAGGTAGGGAGAGAGCTTTCACCATTGTCGACGATCAGACTTTTTTTTATTTTTTTTCCATTTATTTCGACAAACGACAAGTGAATCCAATAAATTGGAAAACAACACATTGCCTTCCAATTTATTTAACTATAAAGACTTTATTACGCAATTAAACATATTCATGAAAAATAATATTCCGTTCCCCGCATTAATTCCTAAATTGAACTCCATGAAACTGATAATAACAAAGATATTGTATATATCGAATAATAAGGTATTAATTGATCGTTTAAAAAACTTGATTAGACGTTTACATATATAAACTGTATAACATATTTTTAATTAATTCATAAATGATATTATTTGAGTTTGGATCATATTTTGATCATAAGCTCTCTTATAACAATGCGATTTGAACATACAATTGTAAGAATAGCTTGTTCACAACCATTATGATAGATTTATAATTTTGATGACTTGCGTTCTTCAGTCTTATTGCCTTCCTTCGAAGTGATCCAATTCTCGTGCACTTGTTGATGAAAGTTACGGCGAAACATTTCATTTAACACCTCTCGCGTGTTCATAGAGTGACCTCGTATCATTGCACAGTGGAGATTCATTTGCACAATGCGTTTCTTCTTCGTGAGGCGTTATAACCGAGTGATTAATCCGAACCTTAGGAATATATCTTACAAAGCTCATTACACCGTTTTCATATTGTGCAAAAATTTTACTTGTTATTTTAGCAGTTAATGTGTATTTTTCAGTATTTAGAATTTATATGAATTGTATTTACATGTTTCTCATTCAATTAATAATTGCAATAATAAATTGGAGATTCTTTTCTTTTCTATCCGTAAATTTTGTCATTAATAACTTGCAGCGTTAATATTTATATCTGTATATAAAAATTAAACTCTTAATTGCTATAACATAACAGCGATAAGAGAGAAATTATAGATGTAAAATATTAAGTGTCTGTTATAATTTATAAATATATCGCTCTCGCACTTGATTATCGTGTTCATATTTATGTGTTTTATATTGAAAGTATATGTATTATATATGTCTCTCGTGTTATTTATTGCTCTATGGAATCAGCTGTATCGCTGATTATTATATATCGTGTGATCTGTTTTTCTTTATATCTCATTATTCAAATCAATATATCGAGGTTAATGCTATGTTTACAATAAGAAATTAGCAAACTCAATGCACAATAAAATGAAAACGCAAATAAGATTTTACATCAGTCTATAAATAACTTGTTTAAATATTTGTTATTAACTTCGTAATGCTAACAGCGGTATAAACCATATACTCCGCAAAATAAATAACTTGAGTGAATTATCCGATATAAATCAACTCCGACTCAGTTTCCATGTAGGACGATTCTCAGAACTACATTTATACCCATTTCAAAAGAGCATTAACGTGTATAACAAATATACAATTATGAGAATTCCCGGCGCGGCTAGATGCAATTGTTTATTGTCGTCGATCACGGAAAAGGTAGGACTTACAGACGTCGATAATTATTCTCGAGCACGTGTCGCATTCATATGCAAATAAGAAATGAGGTATGTATCCGATGGGGAAAAGTTTTCTACGAAAGAGCAGTCCTTTTTAAAAGAACGCGCAATTTCTATATCGATTCATAAGGCCGTCATTTGTGGTTGACACACGCAACCCTCGCGAACTATACGTGAACAACGCGCGTGGCCTTTCGCACGAACCTATATACTTGCAACACCTTCTTGGCGTCGCGTATGGAACTCAATATAACGCACATATGCGCGGATCTATGTTAACGCTAACGCTATTGCGGTGCGGCTCCACCGACATCGCGCCGACATTGCGCGGGGGCTCCGGCATGCAGCGTGCGAAAAGCCAACCGAGCATACCATTTTCCAGCGGGAAAATGCAGGCTGCATTCCTCCACGCGTAGATAATGCATAATATGTCTGAGCACGCACGGTCAAACGTGGAAAACTCGGTTAAATGGACCATGAATTTCAGAGCGTACAATCAACGTGCGCGTCTTCCACGCCGCGCAAATCTTGGGTCTTTAATACAACAAGTACGAGAATTTATTGCATTAATTTCGTTGATGTCGTATTTTATACTGCACGATCGTAATCTCTCCAACGAACATTATTGAAACTGAAACAATATTAAAACTTCGCAATTGTGAAAGATATTAGATAATAATTTCTCTAAGAGAAGTAGAAAAGGAGAAAACAAGAAGAAAAATGTGATTACTCTGCATCTAATAAAATTGTAATCATTGAAAAATATATCGGTATTTTTAGGTACTCTGTAATTTGTCCGTTAATTGCACTTTACGTAGAAAAATACGAAAGCCGTTCGTGCGACTATTCAACAAAACGTCGGATATTAACAACCACCAACAGTCGTGTAGATACAATTTAACCTGATTATTCCTTACGATTATTCTCCTCCATAATTCACCAGCAAACAGTTTAGGTGGCGATCATAAATTTTATTGAGCCCGCGCGCGTCTCACGTAACTTTTGATATGCAAGAAGCCAGTGTCTCTCAACTGAAAATTTGTTCTAAACTTCGGCGATGAACAGGGTCCCTGAAGAATCTTTACAAAGTTTCCTACAACACCTCTATCGCATTATACTTTAATAACAGATTCTTCGATTTTTTATCGATTTTTCCTCGACAAAAGTATTGAAAGCAAACATTGTTTATAATTATGAACCTGAACATTGTACGTCTTTAGTTAAAAATAAAGTTTAAATACAAATTTTATTAAAATAAAATTTATTCATAATTAATTCAGAATTATATACTTGTTATTTATTACATTTTCTAATTTAAGTAAATATGTAATATTTCTCTTTAAGAATATAAGAGTAAAAAGATCATATAACAGTGCGTACATACGCGACTAAATATACACACAAAATAATTCTGTAAGTGAAGTATTTGCAATTGTAATCGCTCTAAAACCACAGTTAGAAAATGCTTATGCAAATAGAGTTGAGAATCGCCACAAAAAGCTGGCATGCGTTTGTATTTTTTTCGCTCGTCGCTTTTGCATGATCAAAGTGCAGAAACTTCCCGTATATGAGTCACATTTAATCATCGATACGAGCATTCCGCGCAAAGTGAATGGTAACTGAAGTCATTACGAAATCTGTGCCAAGTTACTGTTGTACCATTGATCTAAACATATCCCTATATATTCTAAGAAATAAAACAGTTTATGAACATAGTAATATAAAACGCTTTTATTATAATACTTTCTCCGTTTCAATTTGTGGAGAATCTAAAAAGGAGGATCCAAAATTTTCTTATGTCATCTATAACTATAAATGAAATCCAATGTACCTACGTCAGAATTATATTTTTACCGTAACTTGTATTATTGTTTTCAAAATCGGATTCTTCGCGTTAAAGATTAATTCACCGGTATGCTGCTACTATACGTAAATTTATTCCAAGATATTGTTTACATTTAAATTCGATTTAAAAGCAACGAATTACTTTAGATAAACTCAAAGCCGAGGCTTTATTTCCCGAAACATGGAAGAGGGAAGTTTCGTCAAACATAATTCCACGAGATTGGAAAGTGTTGGCAACAAATTCCAAAATTTATCAACCCAGAAAGCATGTATATATATAACTCTTATTATATTCTCAGAAATATATATATCGCGGCGTGTATCTACCCAGCAAAGATCAATATTTCCTCATTTTTAATGTTAAACGTCTTCACAATTATAATTCTCATCAAATCTAATTCATTTAAAAAAAATCTAATCTCAGTTCCATGGTAAAATATATACATATAACTATATGTATAACATGTCAGATAATTACAAAATTTGAAATAATTATCTCACAAATTAACAAACATATTTTAATTTGTAATTTGCTAAAATTGTCTATTAAAAATGATCAATAATATGCGTAATTTAATGTCGCAAACTAAAAATTATTGAACGTGGCACAAATTCATTAATTATTTCAATAATTTTATTTCTTCGGTATCTATAAAGATAATCTCGTCGACGCTACGTTTAGCAGTTCGATTATGTCTTATTGACGTGGCTTGGCGTGCGGCGCGGCGAAATTGGGTCATCGTACGAAATTGCTACCACCTAAAACGAAATTATTCCGCGAAATTTCCCGACGCTGCTGGATGTGGTCTATTTACGCGATATTAAGAACGCCATTAACGGCTGGTTCCAGTCGAGGAGGATAGTACCGTTGGTACTACTGATGTTTAGACAATTAAATAATCGATTCGCCTTCCTACATCGCAAAACATTTGCCAAATTCCCTACGTTAGAAAATTGCTCAAGAGACATTATTATCCAAATGGCCCTACAACAATATAAATAACTTATGTATTTCTCTCTGTAATCTTTCATTAAGACTTAAACGATTTAATAATCAACTTAACGTGGAAAGAGTATTTTGAGAAAAATTAAGAAAGGTTACAAATTATTTTATCAATGCATAATTGATAAGTTAGTGACACAATGAGGACTTAGAAATATTTTCTAAACATAATTGTCTCATTTTATATTTAAAACAATCTACTAATATGCTAAAATCCCTCAACCTTATTATATCACAAAGACCATTATAACAGCAGCTCGAGTTCATTCGTCACTGACACGGGTAATAAATCACCGCTAGGCGGATGATGCGTTCGGATATTATGGAAATAAAGACGATCTTATATTCTATACAAAAATCAAACAGCGCTCGCAACAGCAAAATTTATCACAGTCACTGTTTCTTCGGAAACTGATGCGCTTTACGTCCGTCCGGCAAGTCTGTTTCCGCAATGTGACACAAATACATATTTATTGCGTGCGCAAAACGCGCACGTAGCCCGTATAAACGTGCGGACCTTCGAGATTTATTCAACTTTATTCTGCCCCTCTCGTTCCATTACTTGTGATCGATACGTGATATATATATGTATACCGCCTGACTTGACCATTCGTGATCGCCTTTCTTTCTGTCCATGACATTTTTATACAAAATAGCTATATACATATTTTCCACACTTGCATTAGCAAGATCACGTTGCATTTGCCATTAAGCTGTTTTAGTATCGCTCGGATTAATCCCACGTAAGTGCGCATGTAAATCAATTACGTAGCATCAATTATGTCAACTATAAGTTATAATTTGTAAATTTTTCCCACAATTTTTAATCCTTCGACCACGAATTTTACTTGCTTATAATATTTAATTACAAATAATAATTATTACCGAATAAATTTTATTTTATATTATTTCAGATATTTTTTACATATAAAATATCCTAAAAATATAAAGAGAGCATGAGAGATTTATATAATTCCAATTCATATTTAATAAATAAATTGTGCCATTTGTTATTATAATAAATTATCTTCATATTTTCCACCCATCTGCACCGCGCAATGCACATGGACGGATGACTAGCACTTCTTACAAATGTTCTTAATATTATAGCTTTTGATGTCAATAACGCGCACATGATTTATACCCAGGATACCTTAAAAAAAAACGCATGCCCACACGCATTAGACACAACCATCCAACAACGATAAAAGTACGCAGGCACAAAAATATTTTTACAAAATTAAAATATTATTTATTAAAATTGATTTTGTACAGACCAAAATAAAAGCATCTGACATCTAAAAAGAATTGCTCATTTTATTTTAGTCGAATTAAATAATTTTAAAAATAAATCAATTTTATTCGAATGGGCTGAATTTTTTAACAAAGAGAGATTTAAATGAGAATAAAATATTTTGCTTATTAAATGCGCGTTTTACAATATAGATATATATAATAAATGCATTTATAAAATATGTTATAAATACCTATATGATAAATAGTAAAACAAAATAATACGAAATAATTAATGTTTATATCTGTGTATGAATATAAAATTTATATAAAATACAAGACGTAAAAAACCTAGACTAGAGAGAGAGATTTAAGAATTTAAAACTTAAATAAGTATAAATGAAGATAGATAGATAAATAAACAAATCTGAATTGGAGTAACACATCATGAGAACAAAGAACCGCGGTCTAATGTTGTTTGAGAAAATAACAGCGCGTTGACTTTAGACAGATTGCGGATTCGCAGTGTATAGTCACCACGGAAATCGGAGATTATCTATACTCGACACAGATATCGTTATCGCCGATCTGCGCCGTAATAAGCACGATAATTTGCGCAACGTAAGCGCCATTGTAACCGCATACCGCGTGTACATTACCTGTATATATTCGTGTGTACACACCTTACGTTGCAAAATGATATTAATCGCGAAGGTTTGCCGCGAGAAACCCCTTCGTACTTCGATCAGTTGTCGTACGATTCTCGACGACGAGATCTCAGATCCCGTTGCGGTGGCTGGTGAAGGGGGCGGGGGAGGGAGTACGTACGTATGTAAAAAAAATCCTTTTGAAAAAAAAAACAGCCGAGTGACAACAGGAAGTGGGACACTTTGTAGTCGGTGCAGTGGGTGAGAAATAGTAAGTGAGACGTATCCAGCAAGTGAACGAGTGGCGGTGCATACTTACGTCCCGTTAAAGGGTGCATCAGAGCAGGGTGCGAGGTGGCTGCTGCAGCGGCTGGTTGCTTGGGTTTGCTAACCTTTGTGTTACTTTTTGCAAATTCCAAACGTATGGTTTGTGGCATATCAGGATCGAATCTAACCCCCTGCTGCAAATAGATTCCCTAAATTAGTAAATCGGGAGCACACGTGGATGGATGGTGGTAGTGTAGTAAGGCAAAGATGAGAGAAAGAAAAAAAAAATTAGAGAAGAGAGCGATAGTGGAGAGCCCTACTTTCGTCACTAGCGTGTTGGGTTAATCTTCCATCAGAAAATAAATTTACGCTTTTAAAGGATCTTGCATGTTTTTTCTAGGCATATTGTGTTTCTTTTCACAACAACTTCTTAAAACTGATCCTTTGGTTGAAAGGCAAAGAGTTGTAAATTATCTTTTAAAGATAAAAGAGAGTTTTATGTGTATTATATATCTGTTTTTTAATGAAAATTTACATATTCATGGCATAAAAAATATTTGCCATTTTATGTAGTATAAATCTTTATATTTTATTAATATACATTTATATAACATATGCGAAAAGTATTTTTTTTCCGACAAATGTAATGGTATTTCTCAGGCAAATACTTGTAATTTTATTCTTATTAACACAATAATTATGTCTACAGAAATATAGACAGATCACGCTATCCACTCTAATGACATCGATCACGTATTTTGCAGTGAGTTATTTTCCTTCAATATACTTCACTGACATTGTTCATTTTGTACCGTAAATTTAACACGAAAGTAAGTCAGATTGATGTTTACGAAAATACTAACGTTAGAGAATCGATATTCCATAAATCGTTGTCATCCGGATATTTAGTCAAAATAATTCGTTTCAGTTTATTTTAAAAACTGACAGTGCAAAATTGTAGGAACATTTAAATATTACTTTTTCAATACAATCATAATAGAATAATGTAAAATACTAATTATATATTTAATTACTTATTGAATCCTTGTATAAATATATAAATATATATACCGACAACGTTCCACAAATCTATACACGAATGTTCAAAATAATTTACACAGATTGTATCTTAACTTACAGAAATTATTAATTTCATCATCACAGATATCTTCGTTCTACATCAACCATCTTTTACCATAAATTATTAAGAAACATAATTACAGAGATATTTTGCCTTTTAAAAGAATCTAAGATTTGCGCGATAAATTTTTTAATTTTCTCACTAATTTTGAAAGAATAAAAAAATATCAGAAGACTCGAAAGCTACGCCGAGCGTTGAAACTGTATTCAAACTATGGCGTATGTTTTGCGCGTGCGAAATCAAATCGAAAGGGCCGATCGAATCACAGGTGGCTAGCGACGAAAGTGATGTAGGTATAATAATAACATGGGATTACGCTAGGTAGAAGGGAAATTAGCACAAGGGCGTGTAGACATGTATTCATGTATGTACGTATGTGTGTGTGTTTCTCTCCTTGTTCGTGTATTCATAAGGTGGACTCGTTAGTTCTAGGGTGTTTCCAGCGAACGTGTCCATCCGACAAAAGGATGTTTCTCTACGCGGTACGTACAATACGTACGTAGTAGTATACCGTTGCCGTACTTGGGTTATATAACATTGCAGATTGCGTGAGGTCAGTTGCAACGGTATGGTAGAGCTATACGGGGTGACCAACTTAACCAGAAAACTCGATCTGATTGCTGTCGTGCAACGAAAGCTGTAAAGCTATTCCGCGCCCGAATTATACATATAGCTGTATACCAAAGTGTGTCGCGTGACGTTACGAAAAAGTTTTTAAATCAGTTACGTTGATCACCCCGCAGATATATGTATTTACAGATACATATATATAGGTACGCGTTACATATAAATATATTCATATTTTAAATGATCAATACGTGTATTCACAATTGTCGTGCACAAAAGAAAATTAAAATTATTTCTTAGCTCGATATGGTTAAATGCAATGTTGTCTGTAAAAGTGTGAGAAATTTTAAAACTCTAGAGAAAATACGAGACAAAAATTTGATCCAGAAATTTAAAGTCCAAAATATTACAAATATTATAACATTCTAAATTTATAATATTCTTTTTTTTAATTTAAAAGTTATCATTTAATCATTTGATATTTGATGCATAAATAAGATCGTCTACTTCTTTTCTTGGGATATTCCACCACAGTTTAATAATTCCTTTCGCAGCGTCGGCGAATTTTTCGAATATATTTAGATATATGTATATGCAACGGGATGATACTTGTCGGAAGGCAAACAACACCATATATATAGATATATCGATAATGCCACACGGTGCAGCGTTATTACAATACGCCTTGGTACGTATACAGGTAGACAAAAGGTAGTACTACGTTTGGTCCCAATGAGAGAAAAAGAGAAAGATAGAGAGAAAAAGCTACGGTAGAGAGAAATGAGTAGTTAGATAGAGAGGTTTCGTGGATGTAGTAACTAATGGAGGTAAGAGCTAGAGGTAGCATTAACCCGTGCCAGCTGGAGAATCTAAGGCAGGGTGGAGTCGTAAAGGAAAAAAAAAAAATACTGCCGAGCATATCTGTACGAGTGAGTGTCACTGTGTATGTATACTAGATCAACCGCACGTCAACCCTGAGACCCTTGGGAGAGTCTACCACCTTCTCCGCGACTTTTCCCCCTTGCCTCGCGGCGCCTGCGAGAAAAGGGCTATTACCTGCAGATCCTGCTTCGCCGCCTCCGCGCCTGCCCTTGTGTGAAAAGTCACGAATCCCACCGGCTGAAATGAGAAAGAAGAATACAACAAGAAGCGTTTCGTTCGTCGCATCCACGATTACCATCTCTCTCTCTCTCTCTCTCACCCCCTTGACGGGCATTCATTACGCGAGCGCCTCATCGCCGACATCAGTTTGCCGGCGAACGAGCTTAGAATCGTCAACGCGTTTCTGCCATTTGTATCATTGTTCTCATTTGGGAACGCGCTTGTCGTTCATAATAAGTATACAGTGAGATAAACAATCGCTGTGCAAAGTAATCCGCGATCATCGCATAAAACATTAAAGACAGACTTCTCGTTTAATTCTGAGATAAAAATCTTTGTGGAAAGATATCGATAAATATCATTTAACAACTTTTTAACTTGTTAATAATATTGAATAACTTGAGATATAAAATTGTAAAATACGTCGAAATAAGATTCTGTTGGAATCTTAAAATTGTATAAAGAAGTTTTGTGTTATCTATGTGCACTCTCCTGTGAAACTTAATCCTCAAGCAAACTGTATGTTCTTTTGTTCAAATTCTTGTCTTATCTAAACAAGGAAATTAATTTGTTATTAATTACGAATTATCCTTGTATAGATATTTAATATAATTAATAATATGAAATCTTTCCAAAAACAATTACACAAATACATTAAAAAACATTTGGTCATTTCTTAAAAAATAAGAGAACAAGTATATAACTTTATTCGAATAAAATTTTGAATCTACTATTGTTAATGTTTAAGAAATGTAAAAATAACAATGTCATTTTTAATCAATGATCCGTCTCTCTTACAAAATATAAGCTGTTAGTAACTAATATGCAAATAAATTATATTATTGAAAGATAAATTATTTCACTTATCCATGGCAATTTAATTTGCGATCTTATAACAATAAATGCAATAAATACAAAAAGGTACGTATATTCTACTATCGATATAGCATTGCAGTTATTATAGGAAATACTTTACTGACCAAGATTATCGGAGTCACCTACACACATTTTCGCGCTCCCTTTTTCCCTTGCTGATGCTTACATCGCACGTTGCATCTCTCAATATACACTCGCCCTTTTATCTGCGCGCGCGCATCCGCTAATTTATTCGGTAGACGGCATCGATTCCATCGGTTTATACGGAATTAACGGAGCAACGGGGATGATGGGGCGTCGCGACGGGAAAACGCGCGGATCAATCCGCGCTAACGATCGCCCGTCAAGGCGAAACTACTGCGCTTCATAATGCATCGCGTGATTGCACCAGCTGCAATCGAAGGTGTCGATTCTATCGATGCGATGAGATAGAAATGCCCCGATCGTTAAAGCGGGGATTCGTTACTCGCTGCCGTTTACTTCCGCGCCACGTCCCTCGAATATTCATGCATCCGAAAGAATAAAATTGGATCCCCCTCGATCGAGCGCGCGCAATCTCGAGAGGCGCCTTGAGAAAGGAAAAATTAGAATGCAAATGATATTTAGCTATAAGCTTGTAAAATATTTCGCAGTAATTTTTTCTAAAATCAATATCCTACTAATCAATATAATTGTTGTAATAATGATTCTAATACTACATCATAACATAATAAGTTGCAAACTCAATAAATTTTTACCGACTTTTCACCAGTATTTCTTAAATATTTCGCAAGATAAAACGGGGAAAGGAGAAATTATCGAATTAGATTGGTTGAAACGAATTGGTCCACTAATTGCATCTAGATTAATATTCGTAGAAGCATGAAATAGTTCCATGAAAAATTCAGATCCAATAAACTCGCGGTAACAGTAGATCTTGAACTAATCGCGGTTAAAAGTACAAACGGAAAAAAGCGCGGGACGTGCCGCACTTTCACCCGGGCGCATGTAAACGGGCATTCAGCTCTCGCAACTGAACGCGGCGTGCACCAGTGATCCGTGCTCGTTTTTATTTCCGCGGCGAGTACTAATCCGTTTCCATCTCGATCCGAATATCAGATATAGTCACGCCGGGCGCACGCGGGCCGCGGGCCGCGTGCTTCCTAGCGTGCATCGCGCGAATTCGCGGAATAATTCTTATCGGGGACACGGAATACCCAAATGTAATATCGTCGTTTTGCCGTCAAGCGGTTTTTTATCGATACGTGCATCGTGATGCGATGTAGGTTAATGGTCATGCGTGCAGCGGCCACGGAGACGATCGATTTCCTTCTTTTGCCTGTTTTTCTTCTTCCCTTTTTTTTTGTTGCTGTTATTGCACACCGCGCTCCTGCCTGATATAGGTATGCACGAACCGCGACGGCGCGACGCTCGCCTATCGGCTTTTCTTCCGGACATCGGCCGCATCGGCGTCCTTTGTGCCGCCGCGGTGACAACCCGCGCCCATATGCACCATGGCCATGTAAATGCGCATGCAATTATGCATGTAACCGCAGATAGAAGCAGGTAAAGCAATCACTTCGCACAGGGGTGCAACGCGGTCATGTATAATCGAAGAGCCTGGGAATTATGATAACGCCTACGCCGTGGATTTTTTTTAACGCGAATTTTAACACTTGTACAGAAGATCGCCGGGTTTGAGTGTCCCGAAATTTAATACACTTCTGCTTTTACGAAGTAGCTTTCTGCGAGAAGAGAAAAATATTTTTTCAAATTATTGAAAAAATATTTTTCTCGTAGGGAAAAGTCAACAAATATTCAAATATAACATTACGCGAGAACAAAATACAGCAGAGTAATTGAGACTCTCTTGATTAATCTCTCTTTTATATAACAAAATAAATTTTCAATGATAAACATAATGGTTACACTTATTATAAAATTGTTGCAAAAAACCGTAAAGAAATAATAAACATTAATTTCATCAATCGAGAATTATTATATTATCGTATTTATCCAATAATCTCAACGTAATAATAACGAAAGAGGTAAAAGGTTTCTTTAAAAAACAAATAAACGTTGCAATTTTATTTACTTGGTTGTTATAAATCAAATAAACTCCGAGCTCGGAGAGTAATTAACAGCTATGCTTCACAACTGAAATTTTTTCGAGTTAATCAATAGCCAGGTGCGAGAGAAGTTTTTATATCGGGAAACTGTAACCCTCTATTATATTATACGATCGATTTAATCTTACTAAACTAAAATCGAATCGAGTTTAATCCGTAAAAGAAACCGAAAGAACTGCAATCTCAATTGGATCAAGAGGAGATAAATTCTCGCTTGTAGGAGATTTCCAACGGCAACTCCAACGCGGAGATAAATCATCATCACCGAGATCACAAAAGGGCTTTGTACGGGACTCCGCAATGGCACATCGCACTAGATAACGGAAGAATGCGAGACAACAAAAGCTTTCTAACAACATTTGAAAATCTTTCCAAACGCGTCGCCATTTTTGAGAAGTTGCTCGTCGGCCACTGCTTTTCCCGTTCCCCGGCGCAACGATGACCGAAGGAAACAAATGGCAGAAAGGTTGGTCCGACCCGCTATCGATTCGCACAGTCAGTCGTACCCAACCGTGCCAGTGGCCAAGGAGGTTTAAGCACCGTTCACACGGAAACCGTGCCTCTCCGGCTGTGCCTCTCTCGCGTCCGTTTTATTCGCACATTCTGCTCGTATTATATCCAATTACATCACCGAGGCCATTATGAGCCGCCGCTTGCGTTCCGCGCTGGTTATAACGAGGTCAAACCTCATGCAGGAACGAAAACATGTTATTAACTTTATTCCGCGTGGCATATTCGACGATTATCCTAACAATCAATGTCGAACATAGATGGAATTTACGAAGATAGACGAAGCAAGGATTCGCTACTTGAACGCTTCGCAAATTTTATAAAAAACAAAGCTCTAAAAAAAATTCATTTACTTACGATAAAGAGATAATATTTTGAGTTTTTAATATTTAGTTTCTATAAATTTAAGGATTCTCATTGGATTAGAGTATTGAATTTTATACGTCCGAGAATTCACACAACAAAGAAAATTGATTGATATATCCGAGAATGTACTGAACCGGGAATTGAGATGCATCCAAAGATAAAATCAAATTGATAGATTTCATAAATTCACAGGTAAACAAATCCGAAGTTTTATACTGACCGAGAAATCTGTAATGTCTAAAATTGATAGCTCCAAGGATCTATAACTCGGAGAACTCACAGATTTCAAAACCCATCTTATCTTGCAACTCATAAATTTTAAATGCATATGACTAAACTATATAAGTACGGATTCAAAATTGGGATTTGTCGTCATATCCCAAGGCTCCATAATTCACGTTATTTCTAACTGTAAAGAATAGTAGGTCAGAAATATTTATTATATCCAGATCCATTGTAATTTTTTCAGCATCCGCTACTCGACGTTAAATGAGATTCTTTAACGGTCAATATACAATCGTCGCAGTTTTATTTTAGAAATCCGTAACATCTATCGCGCGCGAGATGCAGGTAAAGACTTCGGAATAAAAAAAAATAGATATCAGAATAAAAAATGTTAAAATGCTTTATGGATTAAGGGCTTTACAGCGTCAGTATGCTCTCGCGTGTGCTGTTCTAGCGTCGCCGCATAAATTAATGTTATCTCGGGGGATTATACTGGGTTGAGTAGCGCGCGATGGCATTGCCGCATGATGAAATTTGATGTATTTCTCTCTGTCGGCTGATTAGATATTTTTAAGGCTTCGTGACTCACGTAATCAACGAGTGCGCTTTGAATAAATAAAAAAAAAGCTTTTAGCATAAGCAGCTGCCGTTTTCAATTTTTCATTTTGAAACTGAAATACTCGCGAGTTTCAAGTTTATGTAACATGGAGAAATAAGACGTCTCATAACACTCCTCATTCTTTTATATACAGAAAGAAAATAATTTAACTTGCAATTTACATATCTTTAAAATTCTGCAAGCTGTTACCCTTAAAAAGAGATATTTGAGATAAAAAATATTATATTTTTTTACAACTTGCAGAATAAAGTTATTTCACTTATTGTTAGTGATGAAAAATTTATGCAAATATGTAAAATATGTGAAATTCAATGTATTATACAGGTTTTTTAATAAAAATGCGTCGCTAAAGAATCGACAAGTGTGTATAACAGAAAATGCATAAAATCACGTAAACGGTTTGACCAACCAACTTTTTCCATTCGTTTTTTTTCCCCCTTGAGAATAGTCATGTAGGGGAAAAAGGAGAGAGAAAGAGAGAGAGAGAGAGGGAGAGAAAAAGAGAGTTTTCACTCTTTTCACTATACTCCGCGTAATTGATTCGGAGTTTTCTTGAAATGTACGTTTTCTAGAAATGTGCTCAAGAAAACCTGGGATCCAATTTTATCTCTTCGTCTTCTGAAGTGCAGTGAAGAAACGACGTATATATCGACGGTATCGAGCTACCTCGCGCGCGAATCTAGGGCAAATTTATCTGTGTTAAAAGCTCCGATGCGCTTTTTTCGGAACCAGTGTTAAAAAACGCGATATGTTGAAAACGTAACGCCGGCTAATCGTCAATTAAGCGATGGCAACTTACCGACGCTGTTTTCCCATTTTTACTCGTGACTTTTAACAGCGACCCCTCGTACCCCTGAAACAGAAAAAATATTATGTTATTAAAACTTCTATCATATCAAAATATTGTTTGTTACCGATATAGTGAAACCAAAAATTTACTAACTTTTTATGCATTTGACATATATCTATAGATTTTGCTTGAAAAAACAAACAAACAAAGATTTCTGATAGTTCTGTGATGGCTTGTATATAGTGTGGAATAAAAATTGAAAAATAGATATATGTATACAAGTCTGCTTTTAATTTCTAAATAGTAAAATATAAAACAACTGCTTTCATGTTTATAAAAATTTGGTAAAAATAATTTGGACAGTCTATTTAGAAAAAATTCTTTAATTTTTTTTAAAGTAACTTTTTGAAATAAGAAACAAACATCACAATGTTCAATTAAATATTTGAAAACTTATAACAAAGTACATATAACTAACACTTTTAAATGACTAATATAAAAATATAGTTTCTATTCTGAGAAACTATTTTAAAAATATAGTGCACACATAACATACATAAATGGTTGCGTGACTTAGCCAAAATGCATTCGCCGCGGGTTTTTAGCCACAGGATTTATGGAGACGATTCAGAATAGCAAAAACCACTGGGTAAAAAGTGAGACAAGACATTCATATATTTTATTAAATATCTACATTAATTATCTAGCACGAATGCGAAGATATCCGTTACTTTCTTAGCTGTTATCGCTTGAATTATCTAACTGCTAACTCTATTCCGTTTCCTGATATGAGAAAAGCCGATTATTAGCGGTGTAAAAGAGTTTTTAATTTGCTGCGAGCTTAATGTGTAACACTTCGTTATTGCGCTGTCGAGAATCTTATTTCGTGCTGCCGCTAAAGATAAAGAAATCCTCGCAGGTAACGTTTCCTTAATTTTTATAATAGAGCCGCAAGTAGAACGCGCGAGATGAGCACTCGGTTACATGCGAACGCTGTAAGTAGTGTTCATTACCAGAGTACCAAACTGTTAATAATTGCGCGATCGCGATGGAAGTGCTAATTAACGAAGCCGCAATTAGAGAGCGCGGTAAGTCTCGGAACGTTTATCCGATGTGCCACGTTTTTCGAGTTCAAACTTGCATACGCGAGCACATCGCAAAAATCCTCCATACCATTTTCCGAGATTTATATAAATATCGATAATATATCAATTAACTGTAGTTGCAATTAGAGTAATTATCTAAAAATAATACATATATAATAAAAATAAAATTAAAATTAAAAATCTAATGACAAAATCTTATATAAATAGTTTCGTAAGAATATATAAAAATATGCATTGAGAACTTTGATTAATTATACTTTAATTAATTCTATTGATTGTAATTAATTCTCTCTTGATATAAATTATTAACAATTCAGATACGTACATATTATTATTTAAATAAATTAGGAAATAATAAATTTGAATTTTACCTAAATGTCTCACTTTAGACGCATCGATGTGCGAGATTTCCCAAGTATCTGTTACAACATTCTTGGCACTCGCGAGCTTCTTAATCTCGCATCATTAATCAGTCTGTCCTAACCATGAAATATTGCTGCATAGTTGTTGAGATCAATTAAAATAATATTTCTTAAATCTAAAATCTAAAATTTAATTTCACACCAAAACTAATAATTACAGAAAGGCAAAATTGATATTTGCATCTAACAAAAAATTATATTAGATTGATTAATCGTTCTTCTATCATTTTTCGCATTATAAACATGATTAATGCATACGGGATTATCAATTTCAATATTAAATTTTCATTCTGTCAATCCAAAAAGTATGCGTCTTAAATCGTCTTAGATATATCAGTTACATGACATTTGCAAAGTATCCGTTTCAACATTCTTGGCGCTCAGTTTGGTCTCGCACATTATTAATTAACTCCCTTTAACTATGAAATATCACAGTCATTAAAAGGCTGGCCTCTCGGGGGAGCATAATCGAGTTTTCGCCATCGCTCGCATATGTCGTGCTCGCACGATACGGTGTGCAAATAGTTCCTGCACTTCTCCAAAAGTTTCGCGATGGTACGAGACGTCGTTGAGCAACTGATCCGCCCGACTCTTCTTCCGGCGCGCTGAAAACTCGTCGTAAATCCACGGAAAACGGGTCGCACGGATTATGCGCAACGTATAACGTACGTTACGATATCTTAAAGACGATTAATAACCGGATTCGCTCGACGGGATTCTTCGCGTGTGCACCAAGAGATTTGCGGGCGAAAATAACGCGCGGTGACACTCAAGGTTTATTGTCGCCAGTTATGTCGTATCGATGCCAAGAAATCGCATTCTCTCTTGATACGAGGAGTCGCAGCAATTCGCACGAGTAAGATGATCACCGTCAATGTATATCACTCTTACATCGCCGTTGGTGCACATTGTACGGGAAAACGCGCCTGTTTCCACGCTCGCGACAATTGCAGTTTCTATCGATCCGATTTTCAGCTCTTCAACAATACGACATGCTTCGAGGCAATTGTAACAATAATTTCAATTTTTTATTTGACAGTGTCGTACATTGAAATAAGCTACTGTTTGATTGCAAAATAAAAAATTTAATTTGTATTATACGAAAGAAACAAATGTATGAAAAGAATCACGGTCATATAAAATGATGCCTATGCACCATATATTTATACAAGTTATTATTTCTTGTTGCATCATATATATATGTATATATATATATATATAACGCATCAGGTATCGCATCCAAAATTTTATCTGGGTCATAATAGAAAGCGAATAGTGTGTATCAATTGAGTATTTGAGTAAACAATTTGATTCATCGACCAATTTCTGGAATACGCGTAGGCAACAATATATTTCATTTTTTATTCCGTTTTAAAAAGAAATTTAATAGAAACTTTTAACAAAGATAATTAAATTTTATAATTTTAGAAAGTATTAAAGAAAATTGAAATTTACAGTTTAAAAATGTATTTTTAAATTATAGAGAAATTTAGAAAATCAGAAAATCAACAAAAATTCATTTAAATCGCAATAATGTTAAATGAAATCGATTTGCATAATCGATTCAGACAAAGAACTTCATCACATTACTATACACATTTATATGTTAATAACTATATCATTAAATCTTTTCAATTCGTGTTTTACATTATTGCGATTATCTTGCAGCATTATTAATATATTAAATCATCGTATATAATTATAGCACACTCACAATAAGATAACGCCAATTTGATATAATGCCTTTCAAGATTGCATAAACGCGATCTATGAGTTGAGTTCATCGAGTATCCTTTCTCTTCTATTAGACCGTAAACCAATCAGAAAATTACTGTATTATATTTCGTCGCGTAAAATCATTATTTAAAGTGCCCCGGGACCGTGTTACGTAAAGAAGAGATGCTCTTCGAAAGAGATGTCTCTATACTTCGCTCACGGCGCTCGCGGTACCGACGGAAATGTAATTCCCAGCACACCCACGCGACTAATCCTAATCCCTTTGAGCGAGCTGCTCACAACGATTTCATGAATATACAAAACAAGGCTCGAAGCAAGGAGTAAAAAATGCCGTGTCGCGCCGCACCGCGCCGCGCCCCGCCGCCTTTTTCGTCATCGAATAACGACACGCTCGAGAGAACCTTCCGGATTTAACTTTCGAGGGAGACTTCCAAATGGAGCAAGAACAATTTCGCTGTTTTTCCACTTGTCCTCTTTCTTTCCCGGCAACAAATAACCGCGGTTTCTCTTCACTCCGGCCGCTAGCGATCTAAATCGCGATTGAATTTCGTACCGAACATATAGGAAACGTATTTAACTCTCACGAGCATAGTTTTTGATATATTTTTCCAGATTAGTCGTTAATTAAATCACATTGGTATTGAAAGAGAAAGCATTAATTTAGAAATGTAATTAAATATTATTGCTTATGTTAACTTAAAAAAATAGATATATTTCTTTTTCATTAAAAAAAACTATTTTCTCAATTTGCTATTGTTTTGTAAAATTTCATCTATTTACATTAACTTGCGTTTTAAATAGTCAAAATATGAATGCAAAAACTAAAGATAACGAGAGTTTTCGTATGAATTACAAGGTACGAGGAGCATCAAATCCCATGGCTATCGATTTTTCGTCTCCGCTGGTGTCGGAGCTTGAAATGCAAGCTCGTAATTGGCACCGACATAATTAACCCCCTAGACAAACTAAACTAGGATCCCGAGTCGGGCAAATATGACGTTATAGAGGAGTACCGTCTCTCCCGTTGCGGATGGTCGGCGTAGACGAGTATGATTCATAAGGGGAATATTCCCCTTGTGAATACAGTTCGAACGCTTCAGTCATAATGTTGCGTTTTGCATGATACCGCGCCGCGCGAACCGCGTAGACCGTACAGTTGAACTTATTGAACGACGAGTTAAACGTGGCGGCGAAGAGTCAGGCGGAAAACGAAGGTATATTGACGCGATAACGATGACAGAAAGAAATTACGTGAAACCATCCAAAAAATATAAATAAATATACTACAGCGATGTGAGATCAATTTGATCAGAGTATCAGTCTGTTTTTATATTTCGACATTTCTGCGTACGGATATTTAGAGATATGAATTTGTGCTACGAAATTAAAGTAAAATTATATTTTTAATGTCATTCTAAAAACATTCAGGAATTCAAATCCTAAAATTTCGGGCCATCGAATTTAAAAAAAAAAACGTAAATATTCCGAAATTTATAATTTAAACATATTCCATGTCTTTCAATTCCGCAAGCTCTTAGATCTTTGAACTTGTTCCGTTTTCGTTTTTCGATTATGTTCCATGATAGAATATTAATGTTATCAGAACTTTAGGTCCTTCAATATCACATCGTTCACATTCGCGAACGCGATATAGGTCCTCCCGCATTGCCGTCGGAATATTTGACTTCTCAAATCTTGAACTCTCCCAATCCCTTTGATCTCAACATCGCGAATGCACATCTATATATATAAAATAAAGCGAATAGAGAGAAATTCTCTGAGAGAGATTCACCTCGTATGCTCTGAAAAGCAGATAGAGCTCCCTCGGCTTGGTGTCCATCGGCAAGCCGCTCACGAACAAGGTGCGCACCTGAAACAGGAGAGAAAGAGAACGATAATTGAGTTAATTAACCTAATTGGCTAGTGTAGAGGGAAAGAACAGCAGTCGAGAAATACAGAGACAGAGACAAAGACAAACAAACAGAGAGAGAAAGAGAGAGAAAGAGAGAGAGAGAGAGAGAGAGAGAGAGAAGACGAGCGAGGAGGCGTATATTCAGAGACTCGGAGACAGGGAAATCGACTTTCTCGGTTTGACTCCTGCCCTCGTCCTGTCAGATGAGTCGATAGCTAATTGCCAGAATCAATGTGAGATGCTCCGAGACAGGAAGAAGTCGACTCCCTCATTCGTCATCCTTTTTAATTTCGCGATTAATTCGACAATTTACGGGGGCTTTCCCAATTAATTGTGGCGCAACCCTTAAAGATCTTTGGAAGTGATTCCCAAAGATATTTCTTCCCTCCTCGTGATATCAATCACCTTTTCTGCTCGCTCGTCGTTAACGTCGGTGTGGCTGAATTAATGCGATATTATTTCGCTTTCAGTGGAGAATGCAAATCGGCTTTTCATACTGAGTGCCGTCATCGGGAACAATGCAGTAAGAAAGAGGATGCTGAGTTTGACAAGATTTCGCTAGCGAACGCTTGTTAAACGCGGTACGCAAATAATTGTTAATTAAGTGTCCTCGATTCAATAAGAATTTTAATATTCGTTTATATTACGAGTAGCTTGTTTATTAAATTATAAAAATAAATTTTTATAACAATTTAATTGACATTTAAAATACTCTTACTTATATAGATATATATATTTAAATTAAGGCTAATTGATTTATATACAGATTTATACAAAATTATTAATAAATAGCATTTTTTATTAAGCGATTCCACGAAAATAAAGCCCCTTGCAACAGGCAATAGGAACAGGGAATAGAAATCAGAAATCATGTATAAATGCAGAATAAACAGTGACACAGGCAATAGACACAGAGTTTCCGTCACGTTAGAAATTATGTGCCTATTGCCTGTTGGCTGGCATTGTGCAAGGGGCTTAAATCTAAAAGATATTTGATATCGACAAAATGTTCAAAAGAAAAGAAATAGTTTTTCTCGATATAATAGGTACTTGGTACTTAGTCAACTTCTTTTAACTATTCACGAATTAATAGCCAGTTTACAGCGTTTCTTGTCACCTAAACTTACAACGTTGAAAAAAACCCGACCGCGTGTAAACGCTAAAGCGCTAAAGCGAGACACGTAACCGCAACCGTGTCGCAGGGCGGGCCGTCTACTAATGGATGAGACTAAGAGAGTAACCGGTAAAGTTTCGTCGGCCAAGTTACATGAGCGTCTTACACCGACTGGGTCTTAAGTAATTGCTGCGGCTATGTACACACACTCGCATATGCGGTGCATCGCGGGCGTAGGTGCGCAGGTAAGTGCGACACCGAGGCTGTCTCGCGCTCGCGCTCGCGCCGTCTAACTTATAATGATCTCCACAGCGAGGCATCAAATTGCCGCAATGAGGTTGCAGCAATTAATAAAGTTAATAAACATCGCGGCGGTGGTAAAAGTATGATGCACGCGTGCGAATCTAATTATGAAGTCTTTCTCTCTTGCTCCGCTGCTCAAGTAATTAATTTTAAAAACTCTTATATATTTTACTATCGGCCATCAAATATCTAAACACAATCTCAACAGTTCAAATAAAATTAAAATTAAATAGAACGAAGACTAATACGGGCTAATAGAAAAAGACTCTGATTATATAAGACAAAATAAAAAATAATAGAGATTGTAAAGATGGTAAATAATACTTCTTGAATTTCACTGTATTTATATCATTTAGATATAATATCTCTGAGGAAAGAGCAGAAAAGTTTTATTTTATGTGTTAAAAAAACACATTAATACTTTTTTTTTTTAAATTGTTTAAAACTATACGCAACCTCGATAGCTATCGAGACTTTGCTACACTTGTACATATGTTGATATCGAGCTTGGTAATTAAACCACGTCGATCGAGAAGGAAGAAACGCAAATTATATCCTTCTCGGCAATTATCCGATTAGATCGCAGAATAGATCTCCGCCTACTTGTGCGAGACTGAAGGCAGTTCAAGGAAAAAAGCAACTCTTAAATCGTGTAGTGCAATTTCTCAGAAGAATGTAATTGCTGAGTGCTTTGCAAAAATCTGATTTTTAATTTTTATGTCGGATTAGATTGCTATCCTCGGAAAAAAAAGACAAAAAGATAATTGGAAAATTCCGGGAAATTCAATTATTTAAGAAGTCCATTTTGTTTCATTTCTACAAGATCAAACTATTCAAAGAGTTTTAAAGTTCGAAGAATTTCACATTATTCCTACTATGCCGATTTACAAACAAGTTAATCAGCTTAATCCTAATCTTAATACGCGGTAATACGATTATTTTAAATACAAAGTACATCTCCCGTTCCCTTCCTCCATCGTCGACGCCATATTTTCAGCATAAAATTGAAGCGACTTATGTATATAATTATGCATTTCTTCTCTTTAACAACGTAGCAAAATCGTGTTATTGTTCTGCTTACGAATATTACTCGTCCGTTACGCTAATTAAACACAGCACGCATCAGATCTTTATCCAGAAGATTGTATAAGTTTCCTACTCTGCTTCTTCTTCTTCGCTTCTTTCCACGTTATGAATTTCAACCAGGTTTACAATCTTAGACGAGTTTTGTCAGGCGTAGCTTATAAATGACAATAATTGATCATGGACGAGCGAGTCCGCTCCCAGCTTGCAACTGACCGTGTCGCTAGTTCTCATTGTTTCATCTTCAAAACTATGTCGCGTCACCACTTGCACATCCGCTGGCGACACTCCTCGTCCCATATTTACGTTCCCCTTTTAGCGGTCCCTGTTATTTAGAAATAATTTTGTATATCGACGAACGCATGTGATAAATATAAAATGGTCTTGTTCTTCGATTAATTTACCGATTTTTTTATGTAACTATAAATTAAGTAAATAAATTTTAAATATGTTCCTGACAAGATCAAATGCAATTTCCTTCATGACATTTTAATTTTTAAATATCTTCGTAATTAAAAAAACGTAATTATGTCCAAGTAATATTAAAACTTTAACATAGGAGATTGATTAAACTGAAAAATAGCATTTATCATCTATATGCATAACTGCTGATCAATAAAGTTCCTCAATAATTCACAGTTCAGAAGCTATTTAGATGTAAATTAATTCCCGGTGTGATAAAAATAATTTCAATAGGGAAATATTAATCGCATATTCCTGGCTTATTTCAAGATTGCACGATTGACAGAAGGAAGGCAGCGATTCGTTACCGTCCCCTCGTTAATTTCCGGCAGGAAGCATCGAGGACAGAAAAGCAGCACAAGCATGCAAGAAAAAAATCTATAATCTCGAATTGATTTGCTTCAGGCAACTATAACTCTATCATATTAAAATACTTCTTCAGTAATTAAATATTTTTTTAAGACAGCTTGTACTGTAATTAATCTTATAGATATACTTAAATCTTTTTATGTGCGCGCGTGATCAAAGATTATATTTTATTTCAATAAACACTGCAATATATCGTGCTCAACATTCTCTAATATATCGAAACATAATAACTTTTTGGTAATTGTTATAGACATACAAATTAAGATTGCAACATTAATTTACACACACAAAAAGTTTTAAAATACATTACCTCTATTTTAACATGATCTATTAATGTTATTTTTATAAATTTCAACCTTGTACATTTTTAATAAACCCGAGTAAATCACATTTACTTCGCCAATCAAATAATAACAAGTAGAAATATTAATCGACTCTATTGGCCATTATAATCATCAATCGTCAAAACAATACGATCATGATTTGGTTCAATCACCGTCAAGAACACTTTTAACCAAGGATTTGGTCCTTATAAATTTTTAATAAATTTTTAATCTTAAAAAAAAAAGAGAGAGAGAAGTTAGGGGCTAAACATATTCAAAATTCTCGTCATCTTATTTTTCTTATTTTTTTTCTTATTCGCATTCCTTGTTTTCCTTATCAAGTTGATATTATTCGAGCATAACTCATACTGTGTCTACATCCAAGGTTGCCCGTTTTAATTCTACTGGAAATGTAGACTTACGTTATCGATTCGACAACGTAAACCGAGAATATTTGCACTGTATATGTATATTATTATCCGGTGCAACAATACAGGCGGGAGGCCACTGTCTAGCTCAAAGCTCATTGCTTCATAGTAACGTGTTGGCAGCGTCGGTCAAACGCAACGGCTACCGCGGATTCGATTAATCTTGAATCAGAATTTACAGGTAATTCAAGAGAGTGCCAAGAGGAACAATTTGTAAAATACACGCTTCGCCGGATTCCAAATGGAAATGCGCGGTTACAAACATATCTCTTTACAGACAAACGGAGCAAAGCCGTGTGAGATTTATTCAATCCAATGAAGCTTTCATTCAAACGTGTACGCGTATCAACACAATACGATTGAGCGTGGATGTATTAACGCAGCCCAGTGCACGTTCGAATATGAACTTAAACACTCGTGAATACAGGAAAACGCAGTAATAAAAAAAACTACATGAGAAATAGTGATAAAATAAAAGACAGCACTATTTTCTCTCCGACACAAATTATTTTATTCTTTCATAACGTGAATGTGTCCTGTTGGAAACGACAGACAATTCGCTAGTAAAAATATTCAATGTACTGCTGGCAGCGGTCGAGAATACAAAAATGCTGAAACAAATTAATGTTGGCGAATAGGGAACGTTTTTTGACAGCGCGGATCATTTAAGAGTAAATATTTTTGAAGGTAAATAATTTATATATCTGGTAAAAAGTGACAATTTTTATTAATATTATCGTTTAATTATTATTAATATCATAGTTTTACTAGTTTTTGGCATTATTATTTTTTTATATTAATATACTCTGCTACTTAGCGTGTAATAATTTATGAACGATATATTAATTTAAAAATTGTTCTACTATACGTTTA